TGGCCTGGCAAAATTTCCATAAGTGCACCCTGCATGGCGTTGCCCGTCTTCATTAGCACACATGGTGCAGAAAAGTAGGACGTATAACTCCATTCCTTACATATCATTTCATTTTGCAGCCTTTCCCATATCAGTCTGTATCACTGGCAATGAAAACCGGGACAACAATGGGGGCCTTGTAACGGGATCTAACTCCCCGCCTTCAGAGTAGCTAACAAGCGACTAATTGAATCACAATGATTTCTGAATCACAAGTTCTATCATGGAATAAGAATATCGACTCGTTTTGGAATGATGCAATGATAGTTTGTTTTTCTGACTATAACTCCTACAGAAGACCGACCACGTCAAGATGTAAGATATTCATCAGATTGATGTAATCCCTGGACGCTTAAAATCAATCTATTTCAACTTTGGTATTTATCTTTCACAATAACTTTTACTAATTAGCAATTTAACCCATTTTCTCACACCAAAGATGACTTTCGACTCTCATTATTACTTGATTGATTTTGTTTATCACAAGAAAAGGTTTATCAATGTAATCATAAAAAGATGGATATCAATGGGTTCTCAACACAAACTATTGTTTATAGCATTTTGAAAAGACAAAAGATATAAAATTCTGGTTTCAGTCCGAGACCCAGTCATTTGGTGTAATGATTCTGTATGTCCGGGCCCTACAAAAGTGTGCCAACCTTGAAAATAGCAATGTATTTTTTCAATCATTCAATACTGTCAACTATCAGAAAACCTTTACAATCGTATACATGCCTGCTTTAAATGCCTTGCGCAAATGAGACCACTACCTGTACATGTAGCTGAAAGATCAAAGATTGGAGACTTGATAAGATTCATCCGTTTTTCACCTGTCTAGTTCGATTTTCCCCTATCATTTAGTATTGAACTTCCCAATCGTAGTATGGCACCAGAAGCTTAGTTATCACAAACACACTAACAACAATATTGATACGAATACAAAAATTATGATTATAATGAGTGATATTTTAGGAAACAAGAAGTATATTTTAAGATCACCAATATCTAGCGGGTATATAGAATTGTATTTTCTAGCTGATTAACCGACTTTACTCACATCTAGTATAATGTTATTTTGGTCCTAGCTTTTAAAAATAAAACTTAAGCCTTGAACCCCAGAACTTACCTGTAAACTAAACTGAAAGTAGGATGGTCTTCAACTAATGTCTGCGGTAATTTCACCATCGAGGAACCAAAATTATAAAGAATATATATCTATTAAATACAGGTCTCAATATTACATATTAGACTTCACCACATGGCAAATTACTGAAATTAGTTTAATAGTTTGCAAATAAAACAGAGCACAAGAATTCAGTTCAGGGAATTATATCCTCACAGCTTTTGGAATCATCTACTTGCAGTTCAGGGAATTATCCACTCGGAGCGCCTGTCCCCTCTGCCACTCCTTTGGCTCCGCCACTGCAGAGAAACTCATTGATATTACAGAAAGTGTGAATAAGACTTAAAGAAAACAGTTGAAGTATTTTAACACGGTGTGGTAGGAGTGGGAGAAGATAAGAGATTATTATTACACAAGTCGAATTCACATGATGTGACAAATTGAAGAACACTTTAGACTATTAATACACCACGATTTCATGATCTTGCACACCATTCCATTCCTTTACTTCTATAAAAAAAATTAGTAATTTTAAATTCTGAATGACAATAACACGGACATAGTTCATCTGGTCATCAACTAATAAAACAGTTACTACGGTTGTGAAACTCAAAAACTTACTGATTAACTTATTATTATCAATTTCACGGGGTTCCTGTAATCCCCAGAATAAAATATTTTTTAAAAAGAACTTTTGCAAATGCTCTTTTTTCTGAAAGTAATCATAATCAATTTTCTAGGGCTTCAGAAGAATCGCACGCCTTGGACAGGAAATCGTACTAGTGTAAATGACGCAGTAACTAGATGTGCATTCATATGTTTGCGAATCTCAACTGATTATAGATCATAATAATAAAAATAATTGTCGGGACACGAAGACGATCTGTTATAATTAAAAACGGTCAAAATATAATTTATTAATGAAGTCTGTGAAAACGACACATGGTAGCCCTGGGGTTAAATCTATTTCTGGAAAAAACACCCTTATTTAAGGAAATAATCAATATATTTGTGTCCATTAATATAATTAATAATAGTAAACATCGACGTCTGGAACTTTCTGTTTTTTTAAAGAGACACCATCCCACGCAAAAATGAAGCCATATAATAAACAGTTAGCAGTAATTAATAATAATTAGTTGGCGCTACAAACAATCTATCTTTACAATGTCAAGCTATGAGCTTCGTCTTATACTGCAATAGTCACCTTTCAAGTATCTCGAAAGTTTGTAAATGCATTGATTTGGTTGAGTTGTACGTTAGTGAATACATTCAATCAGAGATCTCGAAAGAAAATCCCTAACTAAAAAGCGACGATATTAACAGTCGGTCTGTCGAGGGTTATGATTGGTTGTATTCGCTGGCGTACAATCCAATCATATGGCTACATTCCATGATTAAGGAAAGGAGCATAAAATGAAGTTCGCAGTAGCTTGCCATTGTTCAGATGAGAACATTCTTATCTTTTTGATGTATTGTTGCCCATGGTATCCCTCCTCGTCCATCATACGCCAAATTAAGACTACAACCGAATTTAATGCATTATTTTCAGTTCGTTATGATATTGCTGTCAATTGTTTTGTGGGCAGGATAAGAAATGACACCATTGTTTCAACCAATATCAGTCCAGATAAGTAGGCTGCTGCTTTAAGATATTCCTGCTGTTTCAGACGGTGGTCAAACGGAAATAGGATTTACCAGTAGTGGGTGGCAATCATAATGTATAATCATCAATGAATATTATCACAGCTTTATACTTTATATAATATATTGATTCATTATACCAGTCACGTTACATTATTTCTGCTTCGTGCTTTCTACTTCCGGCTTTCGAGCAGTCCTTTGTCTTTGAAACTCCCATCACGACGTCTGCAAAAAAACTTATGATACAACTCGTCAGGCCGTAAGAAATAAAGACTTAGGTTTTATTAAGTAATTTCTGTTATAAATATTTTACATTAAACAAAATTAGGCTCTCAATTAGACGAAAATAATTTCGCCCACATCTGCCAGTTCATGTGACGGGATTGCAAAATAGTTTTGTAGCTGATGTATGTGTATGGACACTTAAATTACAGTTTGTTTATACATAATTTCTTATTTTCGGCCAGCCTGAGGTTTGCAGTCACCTTGTAATACTATGAAACCAAAAGCAGATTATGATGTCACTATCGTGAAAACCATTCAAATCAATATTGAAGATATGGATATGTGAACTGTTAGCCTCATCTGAGATGTATCTGAAGTGATTGTTTCTAAATTCTCTTTTAGGATGAATACGGCGCTGGTATCAACATCAAATAGTATACGCTGCCATTTCTGATATATAATCCACTATATAATTGAGTGAAATTTAAATAGTCAGTCCTACACAGAGGATGATTTACGTACTCCATTTTCAATTATATGGCAATATTATAATATAATTTACTATAAAAGAAGATAATTTGATATAATTTTCTGTAATTTGAGTCTATAAATCTATTATGACCCTATCAATAAACTCGATTGGAAAATGTTAATCTTATGTCACACGTATAAGCTGCACCATACGACCGGGTAATATTACAGCATACTCTCTAATTCCATAATATCCGTCGTAAAGAATTAACTTATTGACCCTTCTGGATTACTTACAACCTTCTGATATTATTGGGCTTGATGTACAAAACGCGCCAACGAGAGGTATTTCTGACATTAAGCTATTCCCAGCGACTAGAGACAGAATTTCTGGCATATATTCAATATTTTTCGTGTTTTTGGAAACTCAAATTACCATTGTTCTTTAGCCAAAACAGAATAACGCAAAGGCCTACTAAAGCTTATCTATGATTTCACTCACATATATAATTCACTAGCGTCATATCCGGTTGTTTGAAAGCATGCCGCACAGACAGGTAATTTGCGTATAAAATCAATAGGTTTTGGACTACATGTTGTATTAGCAGACGTAAGAGGTCGAGCTGCACTAATATGACCAATCTATTATAACCTAGTGACGTACGTAACAGATCGTTGACCAAGTAAAAAAATAAAATAAAAATAAGTAGTCTGAAAGGAATTTAATTTTCTTTTGTTTATTGACCTATTGAGTATCGAGGATAGGCCTACGTAATAAAGTGATAGCCGTTAAGATCGCACAGAAAACCTTATGATAGCGATATTTACACTATCATATCTTACTAAGATTTACAGTACCGGTAATTACAGAAAATACAGTCTTCGTGGATGAAAATAGAATATTTACAGGTTAATGGTGTTATTATGCGCACCTTTAAGTATAATTTTGTTCATCCCAAAATCGTTTGATTTAACGATGTGAGATTTTAAGTATGAATCAATCAATCATTAAGTAATTAAATTAAATGACTTGTAATGGTCAAGTTCTAACATGTCGTTAACTTGTGTAAACATCAATAACCTGACAGGTTTAAGTCGGTCAACTATCAATAGAGATATACCTTATATATAACTCTATAGATGACATAACATCCTATATATATATTTTACTAATAAGATTTCACATTTAAATAATTCCAATTATGTATGAATTAATAAATTTCCATATATTGAGTTGTTCGATATGAAATGATTTGGTGTTAAATATTCTATATTTTTGAAAAGCCAAACACCGTCGAGTATTTAAAAATTAAAAGTTCATAGTCTAATGTCTTTTAGATCAGACTTTCTAGATCAGACTTTCTAGATCAGATCATAGTCTAATGTCTTCTAGATCAGATCATAGTCTAATGTCTTCTAGATCAGATCATAGTCTATTTCTAGATCAGACTTTAGTTAAATGTTTCTTGCGTAAAATGTCCTTTAAAGATCATAAGTTATATAACACATCAGTTTAATATTAATACAGAATGACATGAAAAACAACAATAATAATAAACTATGGTAATGGTATGAAATATTGTAAAAAATAATACAAAGATATATGGATCCGAAGGTACATTTTGACGAAATTGATTCGGACGGAATGCTGATTTTATAGTTCTTTGGATGGAATGCTGATTTATAACATAAGATTTTGGCTTAAATACTGATTTATAACAAAATGTATTGGCTAGAACGCTGGAAATTTCCCTGGCATTTTTAAGAATAAAAATAACTTTTCATCAAACTTATGAAGAAGTAGGTGTGTCTTAATAATTACCATGAGGAACTAGTCAAATTTGAATCTGAATACTATTTCTGTAATATTTTACTAATTTTTGAATAATTTTTCATTTCTGAATAATTACTTATTTCTGAATAACTACTTTTTTCTGAATAATTACTTTTTTCTGAATAATTGCTCATTTCTGAATTAGGAAGAATTACTAAATGCTAAATAATTACTTATTACTGAATGTTTTGTGAGATAAAATTTGTCCGAATTTCTTTAAGTTCTGTTTAATTGAAAAAAAGTTCCATTTGGCAAGTAAGATATTTTTTCAATTACAAACGCCACACGTAATATAAGCTTTTTTTTTATGAAAAAATAGAATTTTTTTTTTGTTTTAGTTAATTCTGTAATTCACTGTATGAATTATAAATAAGAAAACTCGGTCAGGAAAAACAATAAATAAAATATCACAACTTGAAACAATTAAAAATATAACTTAATTATCAACAATATATCAGCTCAATATCTAATATGGTCGTATGGTGGCAGATAATCCACGTAAAGCCCAGCGTGAGGCTGCTACTCCCTCACGTCTGACATCCATTTCCATCACAGGATCTCTAGAGGCTATACGCGAATTATATACCGGACATTGGTAGGTTTCATAAGATTTAGTAGAGTCTTGAGCACCATGTTTTTCAGTAACCGGTAAACATGTCAGATGAACAACTGGTAAGGTAGCACAGCTAGTACGTGGTGGAGCATCTTGTAGTTCTCCGGTTGTTTTCTCCCAGGCACAGCCCCACATATATATACCATAAATAAACATTCCTTCGTGGGGAGGATCACGTAACTAGAAAATAATATGAATTTCAATTTGGACATCTTAAAAACTCTGCTACGGTCTGGTGGCATTTATGAGGTAAAACTTAAAAGGATGTCTAATGATTGCATTGTTGCAAGGGAAACAAGTACCAAATACGAATTGATATCTCAGACCACAATAATTGTTTTGTCACAGTAAGTTGTAAGCTTAAATGGTAAGATGCCAGGCTGTAGGCAGACAAAACCTATTTACTTTACAGAATATCTTAAAACTTTTAAAAGTCCTTATGAAATGAGGTTATAATAGGAGAATCTATTACTACTTACGTGATCTTTATCTCTAGAAGTAACCTCTGTTTGAAATGTGAATTGTTCAAAATTTCCAGATCTTTCACCAGAGAATTGTTTGGTATATTCTTGTTTTAATAGACTGAGTAAACCTCTAGGATTAAAGAAGGCTCCTAACCAATATGCTGGCATCTTTTCTCTACCCTGTAATGTTCATATTCAAATTCTATAAACATTATACAAATAACTGCTAATAATAACTACATTAAAGAAATAAATGGATGGGACTGGGAAGGTCATCTGAATAACCTCCAAAACTAGATTTATTACAATATCACTATTACTATATTACTATTACTATATTACTATTACTATAACTATATGCTTATTAAAACTACAGTGACCAACCATAAATTATGAAAGTTTTAGTTATTGTTTCAAAACTGACTACTTACCAAAGTTAATATTTTCTCAAAATGATAACATCTATTCTGTAATTCTGTCAACCATTGTCCTAAACCCCAGGTCAATGGTGGAGCAGACACACCAGACATGTCACACCATATTTGGGGAATACGGAAATGGTACAAGTCGTCTGCTACAGATAATATATGGTTTGAGACTTGATCACCCAGTATGTTTGTCTCAGTTGCCAGTTTGATCGCCTGCAAGAAAAATCATTGCAAAATTTGTGATTTAAAGATGCAACAATCAGATCAAATTCCTTCAAATTACAAAATATCATAGCCATTATGCAAAATAAGTAAATAGATGTGTATACAACTTTGTTTCGCCTTCAGAAATAAGGATTATGAATTGAGTATATTTATGTAATTAAAACATGAAAAATAGACAAAAATAATTCCCAAAAGCAGAGTCTTACTTGTACAAGCATTGCTGCATTATAAGTATGTATGAAACAAAACCAAGAAACTTACCTGCATAGATCCCTTAATTTCTGTCAATAATTTATACATAGTTTCTAACTCTCTAACAATGAAGTTATTAAAAGGTGTAAAACCTCCTATCTTCTTTAATTTGTCATTAATAAACTCCTGAAATAATAATCATTACAATTTACAATTAAACTTGAATGTGTACATAATAATCTAATCTACCTATATGTTTAAATGTCTACAATTATTAAGTTATAAAATCAGTAACTAAAAATCTTATTTTCAATTTCAAGACTTTACACATTAAACTATAAGAAAATCACACAACAACGCACTGATGTATATTAACCAGAAATAATCAGTAAATCATACCTTGGTATAAGCTTTTGGAACCTTGGATAACATGGTATGACATATTTCCCATAATTCCACATCCTTCCTCATTTTAAACGTAGCATAACTTGCTGTAGCAAATACTCCCTGTCCCACCACAGACGGATTATTACTTTGAGAACTAATTCCAGCTAATGGTGGTCCTAAAAAAAAAAAATATTAAATATTAATCACAATGAATGATAATTTATGAATTTTTTTTTCACAATGCCAAAATTTTACATATAAACTTTTCTGTATCTTGTGAACATAATATTACTGGGATGTAAGTTTTGAGATTCTAAGGAATAATCTATTATAGTTATAATTAAGAAGTTACCTTTAAAAGGTGTTGGTGGTCTAGGGAATAATTTATGAGTTAAAGTAGGTGAAGATGGCATTGCATCAAATATTTTATTTAATCTTGTAAAGATGTACTGATCATCTCCTAGTAGAGTCTGAAATATAGAAAATAAATTTATAGATTTTACTGAATGAGACCAGGAACCTGGCTCCATAATTTTATGATATCCTATTGTTTTCCTTTTTTTTAACGATAAATTGAGTGATAATGTACACATCAATATAAGGTATTAGTTATTCCCAAAGTATAGTCAATTGAAGATGCCCATATCGCTAATTTTATATTTTATAGATTAACATTCAGATATATTTTTGTTAAAGTCAGATTGTCATTACAAGACTTTAGATTAAGACTTCAAAATAATAGATGAAAACTTTGTAGATAAATGAAGAAAAAAGGTAAACTGAAATTGTGAGATCTTACAAATAAATAATATGTATATGTTTCTTTTACATAGTACAATTTTCACCAGTCATATTGATATATGTTTGTAATTCTATCAAACATCCAACACTTTTGTCATGCATACAAGCTTTATTAAATGTCAATAAATATTGCTATTCTAACATGAAATTAAAAGTTTTCTGATAGTATACTACTTTTGTGTCACTTTATTTTTAGATATATTATTTTACTTCTTATCTACCTAAAAATGTCTCTTAACATTAAGAATTAAAAAATCTACACTAGCTATTTTACAACAAGGTACAATCTACAAAAATATCTAAATAGCAAGAAAAGGAAACAAACCCAGTTTTCTATGTCCTATAGAGAAAATAATGAATACACATAATTTCATTACATCAAGCCAGTTAAGGGTGCTTTGAACTACATATATAGGAAAGCGTGCATTTTGAAGAGATATTTGTGGAAATATTTTATGTTATCAATCCAGATATCTGATTTATACATAAGAGATTTTTCCAATGAAGGAAAGGAAAGAATAAATAATAGGTTCTCGAGGATCTCTGTAAGGTTATCTCAGACCATAGTCCGAATAACTAATATACAATATAAAGAAAGTGGTCTTGTGTTGTACAATAATTGCATGTGAAACTTATAACTGCTATTCTTATTCACAACCAAATGAAACTGGTGATCACTATGTACATAGCAGAAATTGGACCAGCCTCTTGATAATTTTTTTTTTTCAGATTTTTCCCATTTACATCTGGTTGACTGGTACAAAGAAATGAGGAAAAAGGACTTAAATAACTAAATATATATACCTCTACATTAGGATGAAGATGACATGCTTCAGGTACATCTAAATAATGATGATTAATACCATCTAAAGCCTGTATCAAAGTGTTCAATCTGACATTGGTATTAAAGAATGCTGATGGTACACGATACTTCACTGAAATTAAACAAGACATAAAATAACTCAAGCTTTCAAAATCAAAATGGAGGAACCTTTGTGAAGGTGTTTGTTGATGCATTTGATTCTTATTGATTTAAATCATGTTTACAAACCTCCTTGTTTGAAGTTTTGTGTTTTGTTTATTACACTCCCTTAAAGATTATATTTGTTATTCAAGTTTGAAGAATTGTTTTTGTTCAAGAACAGTTGATACTTACATCTGGCAACTTCAAAATCTTTCTTGATAGCCTGTGGTGACAGCCAGTAGTCCACAATAGCACATAGACTTTGTTGATCATAGCTGTCTGTTATATGACTACCATATAGAACCTCTGATAAGATGTATCTAGCACCAGTCCAAGAGGTAGATCTGGTAACATTGGAACCGTCTGCTCCAACTGAGACTATAGGATCTTTAAATTCACTAGCAGTAAACCTTAGTCCTTCCTGTAAATCAAAAATATTCTGTCAACTGTGCCCAAAGAATAAAGCAGAATACAATTTCATGACCAGTTAAGCCTGAGAAAAACTATAATAGCTTACAATGTTAATGTTGAGGCTCAAGAGGCCAACTGTGTATATATCCAGTTCTTTGGTATTCAATTGTTCAGCTGCTGGTGTTTAAACAGTTAAATTCAAATACTGTTATGCTCTATCAATAAGTAGTCAGGGTATATATAAAATTCCATATAATACTAACCTGGAGTTCAATAAAACCAATTTGTTTGAAATCTTGTGGACAATTCCATCCACCTTGACCAAATCTAGCTCGTAACTGTATAGTAGCATGTAGGTAACATAGATTATGTAATATAATAGGCCACTCAGCTCTATTACCCTGTTTTAATACATCATAATCTAACGATGCAAATGATCGAACTAAACTATCTCTCATTGTCTGGAATGCAGTAAAATATTATTAATGATACAATTACTGTTAAAATAATTAAGAGATAGTTCTGCTAGCAGTCTGACCATTGTGAACATGTTTACCAGTACTTCCTGTAGAGATTGTCACATTATCAAAGTCATAATGTAGCATTAAATACTTGTAGCTAGTGTCCTATATTTACTATGCCATGTTACAATCAGATAACAAAGCCAGGGTAATATATTGATAATGCCCGAGAGGGGGCAAAAAATGAGGCAAGTCCTGAGGCTTCCCAGAGCCAACAGAAGGCCTGAGCATTTTGAGGGCTTAATTTTCACATCCAAATAAGACTTATCACAGGCTGGAGATAGGGGCCATGACACAATGGCCAAAATAAGTTTAAGGAAATAGTTGTATGTTGCTTTCAAGAGAAAAGTTACAGATGCTGTCATTCTTTTCATTCTATTAATTCTATTCTCAATTGTGTTCTTGAATATACTCACCTTGGGTGTATCTATAACTGTTTTAACAGATTGTTGTAATAATCTATTGGGTATAATTTGAGGTGTTGTTTGAGATGATATCCACAATCTAAACTGTTGATCACATTGTTGACTGCCTTCACTTAATAACTGTTCTATAATCAGCAATAATCCACCAGCATTGTGAGCATTATGTAGCAGAATCCAGGAGCCCTGAAATTAGTTGAACACATTTCAATGAATACACAAAAGGCTCTTTTAAACGACACCCACATAAGTAAAATTAGTGTCAAACAGGCCTAATTTTTTCTTCTCAATATAGAAAGAGTTGCAAATGTAGCAAGATGATGATTTACAAATTATGGAAAGTACTTATAAACACATCAAAAGCAAAATTGATGCTAAGAACTTCCATAGGGCTATCCATTAAGTTTAAATATAAGCAGAATTTTCTTTTGAAATGGGTGGTTACATTGAATAATAATGGGATTTCAAAGGTATGATTTAAAAAAAATTACTTTTTTGTTCATGGGCACTTGTATTTGAAAGCATTTTGAACACTACATAGTCTAATCATGAATAGATATGAAACTAGGGAGTAGGGTAATTACCTCAGCCATTGCTTTCTGTATTTGTTTTTTAACATATTTATCAGTAGCTGGTGAATAGTCAGTTAGGTTGATGACAATAGATTTAGCTTGTTTACGATTAGCGAAATCAGTAAACAGTTTACTAGCTAGATCACCCTCAAAACTAAACAACAATATAATAGGTATACTGGTACTACTCTGTCTCAATAAACTAGGCAGGTCTAGTGGTATTTCACCAAAGAATCTGAAAAATAAGTAACAGCAGTCTAGATAAAAAGTTGAAGTTTATAACTTATCTCTTGAAAGCACAATGATGTCATTGATTTGTACTATTCCAATTTTTAGTCAGAAGCGTTACATGACCTTGCATGTGCAAAACCTATTCAAGGTTCTTTGTGATAGTTATTTCACACAACTCAGGGTTTAAGTTTGATTTGAAATTGTAAACACCTAGTTTTAGTTATCAAGAAATCAACAATGTTTAATCCTGCAATCCTTGTCTTAATACCAAAATATTAAACATAAAATACATACTTCTTGCCCAGAACATTCTGTATGAATAAAGTAGAGGCTTGTAATAATCTATCACTCCTTATAGCACGTATTATACATAATCTCTGGATAGGTTTAAAAAATTCATCCATTTTATCGGGTAATGGTACAGTTTCAGGATTATCACTTTCACATAGATTACGCCACTGTGTTTCACGACCATCTTTAGGCATTCTGTCAAACATTTCTTGAAACCAATCAAAATGTGATGCCAAGACTTGTAGATTATGGAATTGGTCATCTGTCATCCAATCAAATGGTTTTTTAGCTTGTAATACTTTACTATCTACACTATGACCTGCAGTAAAGGCTGACATCACAACTGACCCAAAATTAGGTGAAATAATAAATTCTCTTTCACCTGGTCCCACATGACCGTGTGATTCTTCAACCTACAGTAAGACATAATTGAAAAATCAACACATCATCAAAACAATATATCAAAATCAATTAGACATTAACAATAGTCCACTCTGACATCATCTTACTATGAATTAGGGGAAGTATGTAAATGTTTCAATAATGTTGTACCAGTACTCTTCCTACCTCAATAGCTAATAGTAGCGCATATATCTGTCTATCTTTCTCTAGTAAACCTCTAGCTGTAGAGAAAAATGAGCTACTTGTGATCTTCTCTATTACAGCTTTTATAGCAGACCTGAAATATTATATATCAGTTTTATAATTTATATCATATAACAATGCCTTACTAATCTTATTGAACTATGATTTTTGTGTTCTTCAGTCCAAACATGTGAACTAACTCGATTCAATTCAACTTAACAGTGAATTCATACAAAACAATGTAAACTAGTGTCCAAAAGAAACCACCTGTTTGCAATGACATAAAAGAAAAACTAAACAATGCAGAAGTTTAGGATTGGTGTTATGCTTTTGAGAAATCCTTTCACAACATCTGTACAAAAATTTCATTTCAATAAAATCTGTACAACCAATATGACAAGCCTTTAAAGATGGGTGGGGTCAAAAAAAGAACATTTCGTTAGAACACTGATCACAGAAACAACGGGAAATGTCACACCACACGTCACAAAGTCAAGTCAGTAGCGGGTATGTCCACCGTGAGCATCAATACATGCCAGAACACGCCTACGGACTGATGCCGTCAAACGTATGATGACGTTGGGAGTGATGCGTTGCCATTCCTCGAGGAGACATCGTTCCAAGTCATGGACGTTGACTTGAGGCACACGGCGACGTCGGATTTGCCGATCGAGGTGGTCCCATAAGTGCTCGATGGGATTCATGTCCGGTGAACATGCGGGCCATGGCAAAACCTGTACGTTGGCGTTGGCAAGGAAGTTCTGTGCCAATCTTGCTGTATGTGGCCTTGCATGTTGGAAAAGGAGTCCACGAGGCTGTTGCTGAATAAAGGGCACCACAACAGGCCGTAGGATGTCATCAATATAACGCTGTGCATTCAGGTTTCCACGAATTACGACAAGCCTCGTTTTGATGTCACCACATATGCCACCCTAAATCATTAACCCTCCACCTCCAAACGGCCGGACCTGTTGGATACAGTTAGGCACCAAACGTTCACCAAATCGTAGGTATACAAGCTGCCGTCCATCGTTTTTGAAGATGAGGAATCTGCTCTCATCAGAGAACATAACATGTGCCCAGTCCCGCCGTTACCAACGTCGAACTCGCCTGGCCCAGATCAGTCTGTTGTTCCGGTGTCGAGGCGTCAGGAGCGGTCCGCGGTAGGGATGATGTGGCCGGATACCATACTGCCGTAGTCTCCTGTAGACGGTCTGTCGACTGATCCTGTGTCCCAGTGCTGAAGCCACCGTGGACGTCGCTGTTACGGTGCGGTTCCTCAGGTGTAATACCCGAATGTAACAATCTTCACGAGGCGTGGTTACTCGTGGTCTTCCACTCCTGGGCCTGTCTGACGTCTGACCTGTCTGACGTAACCGCTGCATCAACCTGGTGATAGTGATGCGTGCGCAGCCCAACCTTCTGGCGACGGACCATTCCAACGGCTCTCTCTCTCTCTCGATGGCTGTCAAACGTGGCATATCTTGTGTTGTTTTTGTTACTGTGATATCAACGTGTCTGATCAGCCGTTTTATACAGTTTTTATGCACGTGCAGAACATGCTAGAGAGGGAAATGTCACTTACATGAAAGTGATCACGTGTTCCCGGTATTTTTATCGACTATGCTGTGTTTGGGATGTGCAATACAAATTGGCATGTTTTCATATTAGACAATTCACTTAGTAAAAAACAATTTTGAAAATAAGTTGGTATCGTTTCTTTTGGACACTAGTTTATTACCAACCACATACAAATCTATAACTTTTTTGAGGCAAGTCACTGAGGATCTAACTTGTTTGACTCTTGGTCATGTGATAGGATAGAAAAGATGCCTACAAGAACAAATTACCATGGCTAAAACAAAATTGGTCAAAATGAATTCTACAATAGAAAACCCCACAGACAGTACTTATAAGCACATTAAGCACTATGGTTTAAAGATAGCTTACCTTTCTGAATGACTAATGGCACCTTCATACAATGAAAGATATTGTTTAAATGATATCTGATACAAAGGGTTGATTTCTCTCATGTACTGTGTGGTATCAAAACAGACAGCAGCTCTCTGTGCTATACTTCTAAATCCTTCTCTAGCCTTCCTAATAGACTCCACACTGATATCTATACGATATTGACTGAAAATAAGTGAAATGAATTTTAAATTCATACTGTCCATAGTCTCAACAATAACTTCCAAAATAAGTTGAGAGCCATTTTTACTGAAGACTTGTTCAGTTGGTTTGTTTGCTCATTGCTGTGTCTGAAGATAACCCCACTTCCAAAACTAGATGTCCTAATAAGGATTCTGTATCTAAAAACATGTGTCTGTCTGCAGCCGTTTTCTGCTACTATATTTCTACAGCAGGTTTGAAAAGTGACACTATTACAGTAATGAATATAGATTGTTCAGTATTAAACTTACCTTTCCAGAGTTTCATCAAATTGTTTTTTAAAATCAGCCAGACGTTTAGTTGATTGTAAATCTTTTAATAAAACAATATCTGATGATAATAAATCTTTCATCTGTTTTTCTAATCTATCTAACAACTTCATATTCTCAAATTTCTCCTGAAAATCATTCATCACAACATTCAGAATTCTTCGCAGATCTATCTATGTACCCTTCTTGAAACAGGAATTTTTAAATATCATCTTGGAAAAGACATAAAGATAATTATTGTATGACTATAAGACTATATATATCTTTATAAGAATTTCTGGCAGTCAATTGCAAAATAGTTGAACAATTAAGGTAAGAGTGAACATTGTTCAATTTGACTATATGATATAATAGCTCATGTTTCGAGCTGACGATTGTATTTCAAGGGTTCAATGAAGGGTCTTGAAAAGCAAAATACAAAACAAAACTGTTACCTGTCTAAGCTGAATTCTTTCATTTTCTAATCGTGATTTTTCGTGTTTCATAAAGGTATCCAGTAATTCCTCTTCAACACAATATCGTGATTGTTGATAGTATAATACTGATGTATAAGCTGCTAGTTTCTGTGGTACAACATGTGGTTCTACTGTTGTATGTAAATATAATCTAAAGCCTGGTTCACATTCTACTTCATGATCTTCAACCTAAAAAAATGGCCAAAACTTATCAATATACATACATGTATCAATTTACACATCAAATAACACTGTAATAGATTTTCATGACCACTAGTCATGTAAGCACTTTTACATGTCTAAATGTCTAAATGTAAAGGCATTACAAACTCATTAGGCCCTACGCATTTTTATTATATCACAGGAGTTTGTATATTCAGCAATATGATTTGTTAGCAAACAACCTAATCAAAGTACATGAAAATGTCTAATAAAGTCAGAGTATTAGACAGAGTTTGTAATAGCTTGATATGTGAATTTCCATGAACATTGACAGTTGAAACCTCTCAAAACCAAAATCAAAAGAGCTAAGGCATCAAAATACAAAAAATTGATTCTTCCACACACCCACTTCTAAATCTTAATTTACAACTTATAATCAATACTTACAATGACTTTAAATCTGGTTTTACCACTAGTAAATTGTCGACAGTTCTGTATAGTATCATGGAATCTTTTATCTGTTTTTAATGCTACTACATCACAATCTGTGACTAACAGTGGAATACCTTCAGATAGACAATTATCTAGCTGTGATCTAAGTTCCTGCAAAATAAATATCACAATCATATATATAGTAAACTGAATTTTGTGATTTTTATTACATACCGGTACAACAAAATTCACAAGTGTGATCTTAATTCCTGTACTAAATGTATATCACAACTAATAAATAAACAATTTGCGATATTTAATTCAGAAATATTAACATCACAAACATTTTTAATGAACTAATTGTGATCTATTTTGTTTTTGTTATCACAAGACGAATTGTCATATAAAAACAAATTACTTGTGATCTTAATGAAAACAAATTACTTGTGATCTTAATGCCTACAATATAATACAATATATAAATATCACAAACAACAATATTGACTCCATATTTAAGATTCAAGAATTTATTTCAGATTTATGACAAGCTGAAAATGACTCTAAAGTCATTGAAAAGTATCATTTTCAAGAAATGTTTAGAATTATTGCTTACATGATATTTGACTTCCACTAGACCTTTTGATTGAAATCTAAGTTTTAACCACTCTATAACTCTACTAGTAGGATCACAGATTAATGGCCAAGCTGTAGTCGTCTCTTCTTGCATCAAGAAACATGAATTCTCTAACATCAGTTGAGTTGTTGGTAACTGCATTATCTTGAGTTCCATCTCATCCAGCTGTGAAAAAAATTAATTAAAACAAATATAACATCATTAACCAATATGTAATTATACAAGATATCCCTTTTTAAGCCATCAGAATATTAGTGTTGCCAACTGATAGAGTTTAATTTCAGGTATCTGACGACTTTTGGTATAATCTTTAAAAGAGAAGTACTACTTACAGGAGTATATAAGAAATCTATCAATTCTATATTTTTAAATAATAACTGTTTATGTAATGGTAATCCATGATGTTCACAAACTTGCATTGAGAATTCTCCCATTCTTTTTCTAAATTTTAAACAGAAAATGATTAAAAAATCTGATTGACAATCAAAAAGATACTTTTCAATAGATAAAAATAGACTTGGATGTGCTTCTTCAGACAAAGACCCAGTTTTTGAATGAATCTGTACAATATTTTAGGATGAATTTTATTAAAAATATTAAAATGGTACTTGATTGTATGAGGAGGAGCAATGCTAGCAGATTCACTGAAAGGGAGGCGAAGTGGAATGATTTGATAAAACTCAAATTCAAATTGATGACAAGAGATGAAAGATGGTACAGGAATCATTAAGAGAGTTGAAGTGAACTGAACTTACCTAGTATCAATGTTGGTGGCACCACAGTAAGTTAAAAAGGCTGCAGCAGTTAAACAATTAGCTAATAATAATTCATTACTATCATTATCTTTAACATATTGTCTCCATTCTTCTTCTTGTCCCTTTAAACTACAGTAATAAATTTAGATCAAATTTATAAATTCTTATGTTCTAAACATCATAAAATAAGGCCACAAATGTTCTTTTTACAATTGCATAGATCCTTAATACACACCTGCTTTGTAATATCAACACCTGCATTATGCATTATACAACTGTAAAGACACCATTTAGTTATCTGGTTTCTTGAAATTTTTTCTGGTTTCTGACAAAAGGGCTCCATTCAGTCAAATATCACAGTGTGATTTTATAGTTATGACTACTGAACAAGCGCTGTAGTAGTATAGTAGTTTCAATCTTGGCATGCTTGGTTGAGGTTAAACATATCATAGCTTTTAAAAGAAAGAATCTAGTCACCTTTCAACCAGTTCAGTAGCAGCTTTTAACCTCTCATTCATAGATTGTAATTCCATTTCTAGAGAATGTTTTTCCATCACTGCCTCATCAAATTTACGTTGCAAACCATTTTCTTCTTCTTGTATTCTAGGTAAATCATCTTCAGTTAGATTTTCATCTACTGCATTAGGCTGATCATCATTTTCAGGCTAAAAGAAATTAAAAATTCCATATGCAAGACCAGAATTTTGTATACTTTGGAAGAAATTATAAATTTTTTAAAAGCCTGTCAATGTACTATAAAACTTAGTTATATAATGAAGCAATAATTATTCTCTGTAGCTGATGTCTCAGGAACCTTATGTTTTTAATATATTACTATTGTAATTAGATCATAATGATTATATATAAGTAAGCTTTGTACAGTCTGTCTTCACAGAAATTTAAAATACAACAAATATTGAGATAATCAAAACCACTATAATCATTTAAGTTACAGTTGTGATTAAATTTTTTAAATGTGAGGATCAGCTATTTAGCAAATATTGAGTGAATTCAAAGAAACCATTTAAATAGGTAAACTAGCTAAGTTATGCTAACAAAGGACAAACATCCACAAGAAAAAAGATAAAAATCCATCTTTCCTACATTTATAACCTTATTATTTCTTAGATAAATAAAATCAAGGGAAAGAAAATAAATAAAAAATGGGCAGTGGATGTGTTTTTTTTATAATCTTCAAAATATTGTCTTAACACCAGATAAAGCTTTGATTTCATGAAATGTTATCATCAATTGTTGACGAACTGGAAGTGTTACAGATGCTGAAATTGAGCTCTGTCAGTTGTTAAAGTATTAATTTATACCACTATATACTACTAAAATACTGGAGCTACACATGGATATTAATACAAACCCTAGATACAAATCCATACTTTAAATTGAAATTCTAGATAAAAGAGTATATATTCAGAAATATATTAAATAATTGTTATTGATTATAGAAATAGAGTAAACAGTACTTCAATACAGATATGTTACTTTAAAAAATACAATTTCTATCAATATTTTGATGTAAACAAATAAATAAATAATACAATTAAAGCCAGTTATATGTAAATTGCTGCTACAAATAAAATACTTTAAAAAGCATCTACTCATTACCTGATTTTTAAGCCTTTCCTAAATATTTAAAGGTAAAACATTTAACTTCCATACTTTTTGGGGTCAAAACTATAATTTTCCCTTGAACTAATGAACAAGAGCATCCTCATTCAGTTTAATACTGTGGTCTTTATTATATATACTAGTCTGACTATTAAAAGCTATATCCCATAGCATAGCAAAAACATGCATCATTTGCATTAGTATAGCCATAGCATATACTATACGAACCCAAATATATTTCAACTATATCAACACAACACAATAAGACAATTTACTTACTTCTTCTTCTTGTTGACGTTGTTTTCTTTCATTTTCTTCTATTTCTCTTGCTAGCTCTTGTTGACGTTCTTTAGCTGCCTTCAATGGTGAACACAATCGACAGTACTCTACGATAGCTATACTATAATTAACTAAAGTAGCACAGTCTTCATTAGAATATTTAGCAGCTGCAATAGTAATACCAGCTTGTCTACCATCTGGTGATGGGGTGCGTTTATGTTTATCTGAAAAAGAAACATAACGATTTTCAAGGACAACAACTTTGGATATGAATTTTGGTCTCTAAACATATACAGTTAGATGAACTGTAATAATAAAGACATCTGAATTATTCAAGGTTACAAACTTTTAAATCCTGATTAACATCCATGACCATGATGAAAATTGTTTATCTAAGGTTTAAAGCTTGATTAAAAAGAAGAAGTGGTATGAGTTACTGAATAAGTTATTGAATATTACCTGATGTATCTAACATTGAGGCATCACCATATACTCCTAGTTGACCATCTTTACTGATAGCTAAATAACTCTCAACAGCTGTAATAAACAATATGATTCTTAATGTATTAAACTGTGACCAAGTCTTAATATTAGCCAGATATAATCAAACTTATCAGATTCAATATAGCAAGTATTTAAGGCACAAGTATCAACCAGTAAGAAAAGAAAGTTACCTCTGAGGACATCTTCTGGTAAACCATCTTCCCAGGGTACATTGCGTACCATATCAACAAACTTGACAGAATCACTCATAGTTAATAACATTCCCTTCCAAACAGATCTATCAAACCTTTCTCCTTCTTTCTGTTTAGCTGTATAAAATATATAACATCAATTAGTTTAACATTGAGACAAAAAGTTTGATAAAATTTCTTTTTTCCATTTCTAGTTAGATTTAATGTGATGTAATACCATTATACAATTGACTGAATGAAGTAAACATTAGAAAATAAAAATAGTTGTTTTGTTTTAATATTTCTAGTTTTCAAGATTTATTCTTTAAAATATTCATTCATATCCATTATAAAATAAGGGGAGATTAATTTTAATAATTTGCAAATGACATTTTGTTTTTGCATCAGTATGACTAACAACTTCTACATTATTTTTTTTTCAACTAAAGATTTAAATGTAAATCTGATGGTAAGAAAGACAAAATTCAAATGAAAGTATTGTTGATGAACTATTGTCACTAATGTTGAAGATTCAGATAAATTCTATAAACTACTCTTCAATAAAATCTACTTAGTGTTTTCATGTCAACTGTCTAAGACAATGAAAGCTAAAAATTTGTTATTTTTGGCAAAATAGAAAGATCTCACATAAAATTAACTAATTTTAAACTGGAACAAAAGAAAAATATATTTTTTTTATTAACAATTCAGTAAGATAATGAAAATAAGATATACAACTGTTAAACATACACAATATTACTAAAAAAAACCTATATTATAAGGCTGTTGAACAATGTGTCCTGTATCTATATTTGACAAGTGGTCTCATGGTGAATGGTTTTTATCAATAAGTTCCAAGAGATTCAGGAATACATATAGGCCTACTGGTATGTCAATACTTCTGTACAAAAAATTAAACAAGGGACAGATGAAGATTTGAGACTAAATAATAAATAAACTATACTTACATTTTTTAACTAGATGTTTAGTACTACTAGAACTAGAAGATATCCTACTTGACATGTCTTCCTTGCCGGTATGTTCGCGAACTTCTACTATTCTCTGTGATGGTAGACGTTTACCAATCAATGTCATCACCATCTCCATCACCTGTCCCACTAACATTGGTGGATTAGACATAGATCTTATAGTTTCTATACATGATCTATCTATCTTATTCTTCCATTCTGTTACCTAAAATACAATAAGTTTTATGTCTAAATGCTGCATGACTATTGAAGACAGTGTACAATGAGGGAACTTTTGTCAGAACATCAACATGAGCTTTCCTATTCCATTTTGATACTAAAGAAGGAATGTACACTATCTCTGATACTGAACATTTTAAAACAAACCTGTCCCCATCTGATTTAAAAGCTAAGGGAAACAAATCAATAAAACAATTTGGAAAAGGGTTCAGAATGTGTTCAAACTGTTCCAAAAAAAGTAGACAGAATTCAAAATGGAGGAGAAATGAACAGAAGATAAGATAGATAAGATTTGAATGTTGACATATCTTTTTATGTACCGTTTGGTTGAAGCCAGAATTGGAACAGAGAACAGACTGAACCTGTTCAGAACTAACCAATCAAGCCCTACATAATAGACACTATACCTGAGATTTACTGTGTTCTAATCTATGTTTACAATCTTCTACAGCTTTAACAGCTAGCGTATATTCTTCTTTAGCTTGAATATGTCTAGTTTTTAAATTAGCTTCTCTCATTTTATCAAACTCTGCATCATAATCATCATATTCTTCTACAAATAAATAGTCAAAAAGACAATAACTTAACACTGGTAAATAGTGATGACAGTTCAAAACTGTTTCCAAAGTAACTAAAACAAACATCTACAGACAGCAAACTATAACTATAAAAACCACCAAGCTTGGCTTGGCCGAAAGCTCCACTGCACTGTTCCTTTCAAGTAGTAATAGTTTATGATGATGTAAATATAAATCAATGACAATGGAGAAGTTATGTGTTTACAATGAAATGCAGAAGATAGCCATGTAATAAATCTTACCTTGTTTTAAGAGTTCATCCTCTTCAATTTCATCAGCTTCTAATTCAGTCAGATGTAGATAAGCATTCAGAGATTTACTAAGCCCTACTTTAGCTTTCAGTTTCTCTAGAACTGTAGCTTTCATTGTTAGCTGATGGAGTAAATTAGCTGTATTCTTTCTAGCATCATCAAACTTTACATTAGTTGATTTGATAGCTTTCTTCATAATTTTAGAATCAACTCTGGTTTGATCTAGAGTTCCTAAAACTTTTCTGAAAAAAGAAAATCAAGTGGTAACAGATAGAAAGTAACTTGAATCAAATAATTTTGATTATCACAACATTCAATTAGTACCCCTTATGCCTCTTTCACAATTGGTCTTGCTGATTTTTTTGGGAATTTTTTTAAGATCAATGCTTGAAAAGAGGAAAGATGACTTATTCAAGTAACCAGACTTTCACATGCCAACTGAGATTAGAACCCACAACCACCTTATCTCATAACAAAGCGTTAACAAACTGTGTTTTTAATATGGCTTTTAGCATCACTTACTTGAGTTGTTCTACCACTTGTGTTCTTTCTTTAGATTTGATATTATATAACCATCGGAATGATTCTTTAAATCTACGATAGGTAGTAGGTCCAACATATACTTCATTTTTACCAGGATTCTCATTATCTCTATGATTTAATCTGAAATACAATATATACCAATGGTTCATTTATTTTTTATTTAATCTGAAATATACCATATACTCCATTTCTATAATTTGATCTGAAATATAATATATACTCCATTTAATCTAAAATATAATATATAATCCATTTAATCTGAAATATAATATATACTCCATGTTATGATTTAATCTGAAATATAATATCTACTCCATTTAATCTGAAATATAATATATAATCCATTTAATCTGAAATATAATATCTACTCCATTTAATCTGAAATATAATATATACTCCATGTTATGATTTAATCTGAAATATAATATCTACTCCATTTAATCTGAAATATAACATATAATCCATTTAATCTGAAATATAATATATAATCCATTTAATCTGAAATATAATATATAATCCATTTAATCTGAAATATAATATCTACTCCATTTAATCTGAAATATAATATATAATCCATTTAATCTGAAATATAATATATAATCCATTTAATCTGAAATATAATATATAATCCATTTAATCTGAAATATAATATATACTCCATGTTATGATTTAATCTGAAATATAATATCTACTCCATTCAATCGGAAATATAATATATAATCCATTTAATCTGAAATATAATATCTACTCCATTTAATCTGAAATATAATATATAATCCATTTAATCTGAAATATAATATCTACTCCATTTAATCTGAAATATAATATATACTCCATGTTATGATTTAATCTGAAATATAATATCTACTCCATTTAATCTGAAATATAACATATAATCCATTTAATCTGAAATATAATATATAATCCATTTAATCTGAAATATAATATCTACTCCATTTAATCTGAAATATAATATATAATCCATTTAATCTGAAATATAATATCTACTCCATTTAATCTGAATTATAATATATAATCTATTTAATCTGAAATATAATATATAATCGATTTAATCTGAAATATAATATCTACTCCATTTAATCTGAAATATAATATATAATCCATTTAATCTGAAATATAATATATACTCCATTTTTATGATTTAACTTCATTTTTATGATTTAATAGAATCTTCACTTGTGTAAAAATGAAGCTAAAGAAATTCTTAAACTTACTTGATACGTTCTTGTAAGATCAGTTTAGAATAAGGTAGATTAGGAACTTTTACTGTACTTAATTTCAACTGATCTTTCTTCTTTTCATTGACTCGGAACATAGTCATATTAATATCTGGTCCTAGTTCACCAGCCCATGGCATCTGTTTGCAGTCACGTAATACAAAACTATGTATATTGGCCAGGCAACTTGTTACCCCAACACTGAATGAAAAAATTTATAAATATTATTATTGTCATTTACATTTAAAACCAAGCAAAAACATGTTGTGCACAAAATAGTATATTCTTGGAAGGTCAAATCAAAATTAGATTTACAAATGCAGATAGATTGATAGATCTGGTAAAAAGATTAAAATAAGAGGATCTGAAATAATGCTTATTTAGATTTTAAACTGCATTATATGATAAAAATTTACCTCAGATTTTCAAATTCCTCAGTAAGTTGATGTTTGGTGATAAAGTATGATGCTTCACCCATTAAACCTTCATGCGGCCAGTCACACATCCAGATACTTTGACAACCATTTAATATACCAGGATATAATCTATAATACAATATATATATTTCCTTTCATTTACATAACACATTTCAAATAAGTTGAATCAAAATTTGAAAAATGCATCTGAACTTAAAACTGTTATATAAAAACTGTGACAAGAATTAAGTAGACATATGGATTCTTGGCCCTGTACAAGGTAGTGATATCTTAACTAAACAGCAAGAAACAAATCCTCAGCATGCTGAAAATTTCAAGGTGATCACAGGCCACATTGATGTTTTCAAAGAGTGCCTGTGCCGTTAAAATGCTCAATAATATACTTACTCTGATGCTGATTGTAGTAAAGTATAATTTGGTGGTAAACATAATATAATATGTAAATTACACTTGACTCTGGATACAAAATATTTCATAGGATCAACAGACATAGTGGGGAATTCTCTCTTCATGGCTGGATGTATTGCCTACAATTATATTATAAAGTTCTTTCAGATTTCAAGATCAAATACCCGACTGAAAAATGCAAGTATATCCATTAAATCAAACTGTCAACTGTAATTATCTAGATACGTTTTCCTGGCTGATAGATCTCAAATTCAGCTATTTTAATTATGAAAACTGATACAGCTAATTGAAATTGAGCTCTATCAGCTGGTAAATTAAACTACCACTTTAAGTCTCAGGATTGCACTGGACCACAGTAATGAGGACAAAACCACCATTCAGTGTTCAATGATGGGAATTTTTTTATTAGAAGCAGTAATAACAAGCTTTATATTTTACTATTTGAAGCTTTCAGTTGTCTCTAGCAACAATATAACATATATAGTGTGCAGCATAGAATATTGAATATGTCTGTATCAAAATATATTATATACCTGGAGAAGGCCTTCCATTTCATCATTAGAGAATAGATGAGGATATTCACCACTAATTAATAAACTATTTATAGCATCTAAATATACTGGTTCACTTAGATCTCGGGACTAAAATAACAAATAACATCATTATACAATATCAAAAAATCCTACAAACATGTGAATAGATGATCAAAATTAAATAATGATAGAATAATAAATGTACTTGTGAACATCCTGAGGTGATTCAAACAGATACACAAGCAATTCAATATAGGGTAAAATACATATTATTAGGAACCATACAAGCCAGATCTATTTTATGTTCATTATTCCTTCAACTGCTTTAATATATAGAAAACCTATAGTGTCCCTAGATGTGAACTTATTATCAACTTGACTCTACCTACCGTAAATAATAATGTTATAATCTTGTTTTCTGAACCACTCATTCTAACAGCTGATCTTAAACCATCAAAGAAACTACTCTGTTTACTGTTATCTACTTTATGTATACCAATATTAGCTACATGTAATGCTAATTTACATAGAGTAGATAGATGACATCCCACAGCTCCAATTAATAACATGTTACCACTGAAATACAAAAACAAATAATAAGGAGTCATATAAATATATAAAATCTGTATCAAGTGAAGTGACAGACAGCTTAAAATTGATGATAACTCTCTAATTTATCCAGAAAAATTCCTATCAGCCATAGCTCAGAACCATTATATAGAGATTCAACACTTTCGGCATTTGTTTTATTCAACAAATATTGCAAGAGGTAAAAAATCTAAAAACTCAGTTTTTCAATATTTCTTCTTTTATGACAGAAGTTACTCCACAAACAAATTTTAAGTCATCATTGTCAAATTCCAAAGTAAGTCAAAAGATTTAACTTACCCATGGTGGAAGCTCAGAATTCGATGCATTTTAACAACATGAGCTATAACATAGTCAGATAACATTATATCTAATCTTACATTACCAAACTCTTCATTATACCGTGTTAAATGACTATTTAAACAAGTATGTATATCACTTAGTTTATCTATTGGTTGTAAGTTTACCTGAAATATAGCACAATATATAATATATCCTAATATTCTTAGTGAAATTACAATGGATGGATGTATGTATATAAAATAATTTCAACATCCTAATTTTCTGAAACACTGTGGGCAATATGGGAAATTCTGCAAAACAAAAACGCAAATTATTCTTCTCCAACTCTCCAACTTCACTTTGGCTGGAATAGCTAGGAAATCTATGACCTATACAGCTAATGATTATAACTGTCAATCATTTTTAAAAAACAATATACAATAGGCTCACTTTTATCTGTTTACTTGGAGCAGACGTCATTGGTCTTTGATACATTCTGGAATCTATGGGAAATGTTACAAAATGTTCATGAAGATTGCCCTCCAGTTTAGGGAATATCTGAAATAAAAGTTTTCATGTGATCAATAACATTTACAAAATAGTTTCTAGTCATAATAGAGTACTCTGAAGTTTTCAAATTTAACAAGAGCAGTCTGCATCATTGCATAGTAAAATAAATGGTCAAAATTCACAATGGTCAATTTCACAATGGCTAATATCATACAAAACCACACGATAACTTACCTTTTCAATAAGTTTATCTAATTTATCATCAAACCAATTCAAATCTGAAGTTCTACAGATTCTATCTCTCATTATTCTCTGTGTTTCATGTTTCCATAGTGATATTACCATCAGATCATCAGCTTTACTTTCATCAGCAAGTCTTTGTAAACACTGTAAGATACAAGCATATTTTTGAGTCTATATTCAATGGCAGTCAGTTAAAAGGCGAATCAGAGCTCCCCTTTAGAACTAAAAAGCATGCTATCATTCTTCACAAAATTATTAAAAATAGTGATTAAAATGAAAAGAAATAGTCAAATGAATGTCATTGTTAACATACCTGGAAACATTTAGTAATATCTTTTAATGTGAAGAGATAGTGATATCGGCCTGGCATTGGTGTAGGTCTTAATACACTCTGTATTTCTGTTAATAATTCACACGATGCCTGAACTAAACCGTTATGTAGATCTAAATCTAGACCAGTAGCATCTTGATCTGTCATATTGGACTGTAAGAGAAAATAATTAGTAGGTAAGGATTGCTTTATGTAAGAGTTTAAGGTAAATGAAACGGAGCATTGTCAGCCATTTACACCTTTATCTCATGTGAAAACAGAATATCAAAAATACAAGAAGAGTGACAATCAAACATTGAATCTGAACTAAATTAAGCTACTTACATCTAATATACCATTAACAATAGACTTCAAAGCTTCATCTTGTGGTGCTGGTAGATGGAATACAGCAAAATGGCGCTTAAATCAGAAACAGAAACATCAATAAATAAACATTTGCTCAAAGGACTTATAATAATACCTAAATCTAAATGTCCATAATTTGTAAACACCTAACTCTCAAATCTTAAACAATATTATGATAAAAATTTGTTAGTTGAAATTGTCTTTTAACAATAATTAACCAGAAATATTTGTTGAACCTACCAGTAGTCGTTCTGATATAGTTCTATTGTTAAAACCAGGATAATCACTTAGCGCCATTCCTGACAATACTGTTAAACCCTCTATAGATCTCCATTCAAATGGTTTCTGTAGTGTACACAATACCTTCTCATCTAACAATTGACGTAATAACTGTAAATAGAATAAAGGTAAAGCCATCAACCAACTGTTACAAAGCAAAATGCTTTCAAAATAATCCTATGAAGACCATTGGCTCTTCTATGAATCACATGTTATAGGGGGGTCACAAGCATTTCTTTCCCAATGTAAAACATTAAGATGATTTGAAAGCAGGGGGTGTGTGGGGTGGGCCTCAGTTTTTGGGCCCCCCTACCCCGAGAGGAAACACCACTGATCTTAACTTGTTCTATTACCTCATTAGATCTCTGTACATTATAATCATCTGGTACTGGTAAATTAACATCATCTATAAACACTCTTAATTTCTTATTATCTCTTGCTCCATACACAAATCCTGAAATAATTAGAAAAAAACAAAATTTTTAACATTTCATAACTGTGTGAAGTATATTACTACAGTTAAAACTTATGACAATTTCTCGTCTAAAGTTTGCATGTCTAAAGTCAAGAGTTGTCATAGTAACATAGTGTAAAATAGACACATGTAATATGACAGTTAGATACCGGTATACTAAATTACTACAGCATATAGATAGTCACTACAATTTGTCGTATTCCAATATAAACACTTGACCAAAATATGTTCTATGTTTGGCATCAAGAGGTCATTAATTGGAAAATGAACCGAAAGTTTCCTACCTTGTCTATGATAAATATTAGATTCTATAAATTGTTGTAATTGACTAGCTGTAGAGGCACCAGAAAATACCAAACGTTTACATATTGTTGTTTGTTGATCTGAAAAATAAAAAAAACAACACATAAAGCTTTATTGACAAATCAGTACAACAGTATGTAATGAATATTCAATAATTTCAACACATTTCAGGAGATCATTTCAGTCATTTTGTACAAATTTTTATTCAACTAACTGTCACAAACTGTTGAACTATATTGATCTTTAATATTTGAAGTATCTGTAAATGATTTACCTTGAAGATCTATGAACTCATTGATTAAACTAGTTTTTCCTGAACCATGTGGTCCTACTAGTAGTACATTCTGACCAGAAGCTGCAGCAAACTCCATCAATATTCTAGTTCTTATCTACAATAATATTAAAATAATAACATCACAAATATAAGAGATACTTAGACAAGGTGTATGGTAAGTCACACTGCCCTAAAGAAAATCAAATTGTAGCCAGTCAGATGGTTGGACTTGAATCCCTTTCTCATAAATGTCCTATTCCATGCTTGTTGCTGTCGCGAGTGGGCCATCGTAGTAAAAAAAGAACTTACTGAGTTAACAGAATCAATGAAGACTTCACCTAACATATCTTGATTATCAACAAACACAGCTTCTGGTACTCTAAATAAATGTAATTATGTATATATTTAACTAAGACAGTTTTTAAACACTGAAAACATCACACAGTCAACTTTTCATAACCATTCACCTCCAGACCATGACTTGAGAGAAAGGGAAATCTTATATCCAAATATCTCATTTGTATCTCATAGCCATATAGTATCAGTATCAAGATAAGAAGAATAAGGAGTTACCTTGAATGCCAGGGATCCCATTCTCCAGATTCATCAACATAATAATCAAATACACTGATATCATGGTCATCATCTGGTAATCTAAATATCATAATATACAAAACAATGTTACATAGTAAACATTATAGTGAAATATTAACATGTTACATTATTCCTTATAGCACAGTGGAAGACATTATCATATAAGGCATCAATGCATTTCTGGATGCTTCATTCATATTTTTTTTTATTAGTTTCTCCACTTACTTTCAATGATCTGCCCAAATTAATACGCGTCTCTAGGCTATGCAATATCCATATTATGTAGAACACAGGGAAAAAGAAATCAACCTTTTATGTCATCCCACTCTTAACAGTAATATTGATTAGTATTTATTACCACATTTGATATTGGGACAAAATTCGGCAAAACATGATTAAAACAATAACTTTGTCACATCATGGATGGAAAATGTAGTAACCACCAGAAGCAAAAACCTTTAACGATTAACACTTCTGCTTTTCAATTAGATTGCATTTTGTTACATTTCCCAAAATGGTATAAACTAGTAAACATAATAGAAAACATACGCTGATGACAATGTTTTTAATAAATCACTAAAAGCTTTTCTATCATGTTGATCTAATAGTCCACCAAATGTCCATATCAAACAAAACAAAAACATTCTCTCTATATGCATTTCACCACCAATTTCTATATTATCTGCTAACATAGCTGATAGCAATCCTAGACAGGTCTTAAACAGTCCTACTTCACAAAGTTTTAATTTGGGTCTACAAAAATAAAATCAAACACACAAAATATTAGATTAATAATAAAAAGCAATGTCATATTGTAGTCTGGAATAACTTTTTAACAAGAGTAACCTTCCTTTTAGTCAGGCAGAGTTCTGTCCCATGCTAATTTGCCCTGGAAGGACAATAGCCTTAAATACATGTTATCTGTCTGAATCCTTAACAAACCCCCTAAACATAATATTAAAGAGAAACTGTCAGTATAAAATATGTGTATTTGAAAGCATATGTATGTCCCAAGTGACTTACTTGCAATCATGGAAAACAAAGTTGATGATAGGATCTAAACATTTCTGGAAAGCTCTTTGTAATACCTGTAAATATAAATATCTAAGTTCTAGCACATGATATTTTTAAATAACTGCAATTTGTCTTCTAACTAAATGATAGAGTCAACAAGATGGTGAAAGAATTTCATTAGAGACATTCCTGCATTTACTTTATAGTTTAGCATACATACAATGTTCACCTTTAGTGGCTTTACTTCCACAGAGACTGAAGCCTGAATCTCAAAACAGTTTAGTTTCCACATTCTCAATTTGTCAACAATTCAATCTTCACAATGTCAAGCTATTGCGTCTCATACCTTGACATCATTAAGCACTTTCCTTGTATCACAGTCACTAAATGATTTGATTTGATTTGAGCCAGAAAGACTGTAAATATTCATTTTCTATGTCATCAGTATATAACATAGAATATAGCAATTATAAACAATTAAGAAGTGTATTAAGTTATTAAAGAAATATATTCCAGTGAATAATAGTCAAAACTTAGTTTAACACACCAAACTTAGTCAAATTGAGATATAATGTGCCATAATGCCAAAATCAATAGACAATATTCCTTAAACACAGAAAAACAAGATTAATGACAACATGAACTGATTACCTTCTTAGTACTTCCATTTTTATCATAAATTGTGAGCAGCTTAATACAAGAATATTAAAATCAAGTGAACATCAACATGAACACGTGCAAATTAAATAGAACGAACAAGAATGAACAAGACATGTGCAATGAAGTGAAATTGGATATAAATAATACTTCCTTTCGAGCAACTTGTACCTAATAAAATTGATAGAATTAATGTAGTGAAATAAATGAAAGTTAACTGATGATATTTTGAACTGTTGACCTTAGTTCTGGATTTAAGACTTGCATTAAGCAAGCTCTTCTGCAAATGTTCTTTGTTCATATAAAAAGCTAGTTAGAATGGTAACAGAAATCAGTCCTAAACATTGAGCTCCCACAAATAATGAAGGGTTCACTGTACCAAATCTTAAAAATCTAAGTAAAATTTTGATTTGTTGATAACTTACATGAGCTTCTTGTTGTGTTCTATTCTCTAACCATGCTTTAGCTATTGGTTTCCAACCTACAACATCTTTATCTAGATACACTATACCCTACAAATATATTCAAATTTTCATAATATTGTCCAAGGGTAACTTTTTTCAAACAATTAAGACAAAAGAAGACAAATACGCATACATTTTTTCTTGTGGCACTAAAATATTGTTTATGAAGATAGGCAACACCATACTGTGTACAATGACGCAAATTTTTTTTCAATAGCTGAGACTATTTTGATTTACAACACTTAGGCAATCTTTTTGAAACTGACAAGAGCTCACAAGACTTGTTTAATTATCCTGTCCATATGATTCGATACATTTTCTAAGCCAGCCCCTCCAACCTGCATTACTGACCACAAATACCTGTTTTACCATGGCTAACTTACCGTTCTGGCTATAGTAGATGGTGAACTATCACATAGACTATCAGTTTCAAATAACAATATAACATTATCAGATAGGAATAACTTATCACCATTCTTTAAATGTAACACCTAGAAATAACAATATAACATTATCAAATAGGAATAACATATCACCATTCTTTAAATGTAACACCTAGAAATAACAATATAACATTATCAAATAGGAATAACATATCACCATTCTTTAAATGTAACACCTAGAAATAACAATATAACATTACCAAATAGGAATAACTTATCACCATTCTTTAAATGTAACACCTAGAAATAACAATATAACATTATCAAATAGGAATAACATATCACCATTCTTTAAATGTAACACCTAGAAATAACAATATAACATTATCAGATAGGAATAACTTATCACCATTCTTTAAATGTAACACCTAGAAATAACAATATAACATTATCAGATAGGAACAATATAACATTATCAAATAGGAATAACTTATCACCATTCTTTAAATGTAACACCTAGAAATAACAATATAACATTATCAAATAGGAATAACTTATCACCATTCTTTAAATGTAACACCTAGAAATAACAATATAACATTATCAAATAGGAATAACTTATCACCATTCTTTAAATGTAACACCTAGAAATAACAATATAACATTATCAGATAGGAATAACTTATCACCATTCTTTAAATGTAACACCTAGAAATAACAATATAACATTATCAGATAGGAATAACTTATCACCATTCTTTAAATGTAACACCTAGAAATAACAATATAACATTATCAAATAGGAATAACTTATCACCATTCTTTAAATGTAACACCTAGAAATAACAATATAACATTATCAAATAGGAATAAGATATCACCATTCTTTAAATGTAACACCTAGAAATAACAATATAACATTATCAAATAGGATTAACATATCACCATTCTTTAAATGTAACACCTAGAAATAACAATATAACATTATCAAATAGGAATAACTTATCACCATTCTTTAAATGTAACACCTAGAAATAACAATATAACATTATCAGATAGGAATAACATATCACCATTCTTTAAATGTAACACCTAGAAATAACAATATAACATTATCAAATAGGAATAACTTATCACCATTCTTTAAATGTAACACCTAGAAATAACAATATAACATTATCAAATAGGAATAACATATCACCATTCTTTAAATGTAACACCTAGAAATAACAATATAACATTATCAAATAGGAATAACTTATCACCATTCTTTAAATGTAACACCTAGAAATAACAATATAACATTATCAGATAAGAATAACATATCACCATTCTTTAAATGTAACACCTAGAAATAACAATATAACATTTTACTAACATTTCATTAATCAAATTTTTATTTTTGCAAACTACACACCGCTGTACTAAGGACAGTCTCTGTATTATGAGAACCTAAATAACCAACATTATATGACATTAAGTTACCTTTTCTCCAGCTAAAACACTATTGAAATTATCAGCCCAACTTGGTATCAGTGGTCCATCTAAACATAACCATGTAGTGCTCATATTCTAAAATATAAAGTGTTCATACAATAAAATTCACTGTCATATTTACAGTTCATCTATAAAATCTGATACAATATTGTCACAAAGTCAAGATAAGTTTGAACCCAACATAAACCTTTCAAGTTTTGCAATGCAATGTGCCATCAAAGAAATTTACTACTATCAATTGCGGTCAAATGAACTACAGTTAAAAAATACAGAATACTAAACTTACCCTATTAGCTTTTTTACAAGCAGACGTAAAAATACCATCCACCCAATCATTATTCTGATTCAAATATCCAAACATTAATGATGAATCATCCACAACTAGTGGATTAATACGTAATAATTTATGGTTAGTTTCAATGGGTTTACTGGTATTACTGCGATTAGATATATGTGATTGTCTAGAGAGTCCACGAGGTTGTACACATAGAGCATCTACTAATGTCTGTATACAGGTTGATTTACCACTACCTGGAGCACCAGCCACTATAATACCTATAAAGAAATGACAAATTTGTTCATACGTTCATTAATTCAGAAACTTAGACATCATCCATTGGCTGACAAAAAAAAGGTTGCAAATCTTGCCAACCACGGTAAACCAAGGTGAAATGTAAAATGAGGCATCCCTTTCAGACAGTCGACTTGGCATTTATCAAGAATTGCTTTTGACATTTCTGACACAGATCAGACTCCAAATCACAATGAGCTGGTCCAATGAACTGAATATCTTACCATTAGAAACTTGTGATAGATTATGTAACTGAACACATCTATTAATCCAAGGTTTGGTGGCTATTAATCCTGAATCTGCTGCTTTATTTTCTAATGCTACTTCTAGATCAAATCCTCGAGATTTAGCTGAGAGAACATTTCTAGTTGTAGGTACTTCAGGTAAACCATTAAATACTTCTTTTAATATCACTTTAAACTGAGCTAGATCCTGAAATAGATAGAATTGACAGACAGCTATCTAGTCTAGAATTGCCATTTTTGCAATTTGGTACCAACTTACATTTACAATATCAACCTACATAAGATAATATGTCTCATCATTTTCTCCATCCTCTTCAATAGCTGAGACACAAGCAGAAAAAGTAAAGTAAACCTCTATTTCTTTTTACCCATCAAAATTTTATATTGATTTGATTCCAAATAGACAGTTTTAAAATACTTACTGTAGCAGTCATCCTAGGTCCTAACACCTCCTCTATAGTATTACAGACTACTGAATGATCTAATTTACCAGCAGCAGTCATTGGATTAGGTGTACCAGCTTTACGTGTCTGAGCCTGACCTGGTAATTTAGCTAGACTTCCCATACCACTTGGTCCACCTGCAAACAAGAAAGATAGATTTGCATGCTATCTTACTTAGCTGCCATTGAACATGAGACTATTCAACAGATCAAAGGTTACCACATTTACCACAGTTTAACATTCAAACCATCCAAAGTGAGATAGTACAGAATATCTAAAGACAAAACCACCTAAAACTTACATTGCTCCTTTCATAAAATCAAGTTGCAGTTTTGTTAACAAATTTGTGACAAAAAAATGAAAACTTTTAAATAAGTGATAACCTACTAGATTGTAATGGCATATTGAGTTTAACTGTAGCTTCTGAGGCTACACTTTCTGATCTTGATTCTTCACGTTTATCTTTTTCTGTTGATTTCTCATCTCTCAGATATCTTCGTTTCTGACAAGCTCTCTTTAATACTCCAACTAGAGATGATATGGTGAAATGATAGTGGAACTCATGTGGTCTGAAATTTTACAAAAACATATATAACAACTTTACACAACAATATTGAGGACAAAATCATTTCAAAAACTAAATTGAAAACCAAAAGCAAACATTATTTAATAGGCACATGCTGCATTAGGCTTTAGACTAGCATTCAGGATATGTATTATACATAATCTATAGTTTAGACTTCAGGTTTACAAAGGTGCAAAAGAAATGTTTTTGTATAAGCAATATCAGGAAATCTGTTTGAAATTAATATTCTGAACTTCTGGAAACTATATGAGTATGTAAACAAAATAATAACATGAAGTAACTTACAACTGATCTTTAACCAATTCTGATAAAACTTTGAGTCTATTAGCTAATATACCAGGAGCCCGGAATCCTAAAGCTGAACATTTACATTTTAATATCTGACCAATATCTGGTCGTATTAATGATACTGTACGGAAACTAGAGCGTAGTTCATTAGGTAGGGAACAACGAGGTGGTGTTACGTCTGGGTTAACTGTCATAAATAATCCGACAGTTGTCTTGATATAGATCTGAAATATGTAACCGGTAATTTTAATTTTTTTTTTATATTATAGTATCATTATGGAAAAGCAAAGATTATACAAAATGGCTGATGAATTTAGCAATTGAGAACTAATCTGAACCAATTAAAATCTTCTAGTTTAAAAATTCAGATACTTACGTTACATCTTGTCCTTCCATAAGACTTGTTGTTAATATACTAGATCTTAATGATAACACTGTATACTTACATCCTGTCCTTCCATAAGACTTGTTGTTAATATACTAGATCTTAATGATAACACTGTATACTTACATCCTGTCCTTCCATAAGACTTGTTGTTAATATACTAGATCTTAATGATAACACTGTATACTTACATCCTGTCCTTCCATAAGACTTGTTGTTAATATACTAGATCTTAATGATAACACTGTATACTTACATCCTGTCCTTCCATAAGACTAGTTGTTAATATACTAGATCGTAATGATAGCACTGTATACTTACATCCTGTCCTTCCATAAGACTAGTTGTTAATATACTAGATCTTAATGATAACACTGTATACTTACATCCTGTCCTTCCATGAGACTAGTTGTTAATATACTAGATCTTAATGATAACAAGACTTTCTGAGCACATTCCATTAATACAGCTATTGCTTCACTATTTAAATTCTGAGCTTCATCAAAACAACCCCAACAACCATCCTGTTTGAAATAAGTGTAATATACAAAAATTATTATTTTGTCATTTGTAAAATGAAGAAGTGTTTTTTTTTTATTTAAGGTAAGTTAGACACTTTATCACCAGCTCTCAACATAGTACCACTTGAGAGTACAAACAAACATTATGATTTATCTTCTAAATTAGCAATAGTCATCATGTACTGCAAGGATAAGTAAAATATACTAAGTCATGAAAATTTACCATGGCTAAGCCTTGTACTATTTTGCCTAGACTTCCAGGGTTGAACGTTGTAGAACAGTGGAACATTCCAAGAAAGTTGCCTAGGATGTTTGCCAAACCCTGAAATAGAAATGGAATTTTAATCAAATAGAAAACAAACAAGATGCCAAAATCACAAATAGACTAACGTATCTTTTTAATAAAATATATGGCAATCTGAAACCAGTCAATTGTTAGTTTTTTACAAAAATCATGAGCTTGATATGAATCAAGAAAGACATCTGCTGTATTATAATATCTACTGTACCTTGACTGTTTCTGTTTTTCCGACTCCAACTGGACCAGTAATAGAACTACCATGGTATTGTTTTAAAGCTTGGGACATAGTTAAGAAACATCTCTCTGTTAATGGTGTTAATGCTACACCTATATCACTACCATAGAACTCATTACCATAATCATAACTATTATCTAATATCCATATTAATGGCTCTGGTTTGTCGTCTGCAGAAGAAAAAGAAAGAAAATATAACTAGACTTCATTAAGGTTGTAAAGTTATTTGTTTAGTACAGTGTTACTTTTTCTCCTGTTGGCTACTGAAGATAAGCAACTCCATTCATTGCCACAGCATCACTAACCACATATTATCTAATATTAGATTAATTTCAACTTGATGAGGCAGAATTAATTCACATACCAACAGGATGTAAATAACATCTAATACTTCTTCTCCATTCAAAATCTGTAACTTCTCGTAACTTTCTGCTAGATAGATTCTCTAGAATATCTCGTAAGAACAGAGATTGCTGAAAACAAAAAATGTCCATTTCTTTAAGCTTTTCAGCATTATAGAAGGTGATCACAGCACCAGCACAATTTAAACAAATATATCATCATAAACACAAGGCATGACTTATGGAATGGGGCTGGTGTTTGTGAGTCTGACTATATGTTTTGCTCAACCCATGAGAACTGTAGATGTTTTGGACAAGAATTTGCAACCGACCAAATTCATTTGGTCTCTTACACTATGATCATCATTTTCAAGTGAAATTTAAAATTTTGCAGCCAAGACAATACATTTAAGTAAACATGTGCAATCACTAAATACAGATTATCCATACTTACAGCTACCATACATTCTAAACGACCTTTATGTACAGGTAACATTGCTTCATCAATACCCTTCCAAGCTCCACGTGATAAAATAGAGGATAGTTTACTGGTATGGGAGACATATTTCCTCAGTGTACCCTGTAGTGCTTTACGATCATATTTTACTTCACTAATACCAGTTTCACATTCTTTAGTCCAATGATATAACATTCCCATACGACATACTTGAGCTGGGTACTATAATGAAATGAAACAGATCATCAGATCAATGAAGACTGGCACTGCATGAGGTAATTGTAAACAATGGACATATAACCATAAGAACTATTAGTTTTCAACTAATATGGGCAAAATAGAAGGGAATAGAGATCATTTGGTTTTACTTACCATCGTCAATTTCCAGCAGTGAACAGCCCTGATTATCAGCCTGAAACAACCTTTAACAGTTCCTAACAGGACAAATTCTGATGAAGATGAATAGTGCCCAAGTACCCCACCTAATGATTTGAAAATGAACCACTAGGGTTCCAAAAGAAGTACACAATCTTATGATATGTAAAATAAGAGTGAAATATATATTTACCTTAGAAGCCCATTCATCCATTGCTATACCACTATTACAATCATTGATAATACTTAGATTCATCTGGTGTAGAGTTTTACCTACTGATTCTTTTAACTTATACAACCAACTTTCTACACCATCAGTTAATGTTACCTATAAAACAAACTCATTTTTAACACTTTGATTAGAAAGTAAGAGTGAAAAATTATTTTTTCTTGTATGGCCAAAAAAATGGATGCAACCAATGAGTAAGTTTTGCATTTTGAATTATATGGCTCATCCAGTCTATCTTCTAATGAACTTTTTTATCATTACCAGAAGACACAAAGAAGAAAAGCTATGATACAGTATAATTGTACCTGATCTTGTAAAATTAATGTTTCTCCATCAGAACTATGTACAGCTTTAGCATCCATTATAATAACATCATCTACTAGTCCTTCTGATGGTAACATAGTAGGTATGTTCTGTAGTGAGGCTGGATTTAAACTCTATATTAAATACATCAGATTATATTAATATTATGAGAAATTTCAAAGGAGATGCTGATTATCTTAAGAAGAAGGTTGAAAGTGATTTTATATTCAAATAATTATTGACATTAAATTCCTTGCCTTATCATATTTCTTGTAGCAAAATAAAAAAAAAACAAATTTGAACCTAAAACCAATAAATAAACTAAATCAAGGTAAAACAAACAGTAATAATTAACAGTAAACATCATACATCTGTACCAATACAATACTTTAGAGGATATATAATATATGCATGCAACTAATATATCATAGAACATAGCTCTAAATTCAATAGATATTGAATTAATAGTGTGCAATTTCAGATCACACGTGATTCAGAATTCAACACTGTCAAAAATCACTCTTCAATTTCTTTCCAGAATATGTTTAGTTTCAAATGTGTCATCAAAACTGAATAAAAGTTTGTAAAGCATATATAATAAATAACAACATCAACATATAACATATTTCTTACAGATCTAGATGTATCTTGACTTGTTCTAGATTTTGTTTGCCCTGATGATTTCTTAGCACCTTTTTTCTTGTCCTTAGATAAAGAAATTAATTTTATATCTTACTTAGCTGCAGACAGTCTTAATAGTGGGTTATGAGGGAAATTTTGATATCACCAATGATCACAACGCAAAATGCTATAAATGAATAAAGACCTTAACCATAAAAAGACAAAGCTAAGACCTGACAGTAAAGATTCAAGAAATGACAAGAATTTTTTCTAATTTCCTATGAAATAAAAATTGATTGCAAAAAGAGCATTTCTACCACCTATTATAATCTCTAATCATACTTAAAGCTATCATCTTTTAATTGGAGTATGATTTGTTCCTGTTTTTTTTTATTTTTTTTATTTGAAAAAAACATGTTTATTCTATTTTTCACACAACTGTTTGTCAGATTTGTTATGGTAAATTTTGCCTTGCCATTAGACTATAAAATAGCAGCTTTTAGAATATAAAAGTATAGTCAGTTAACTATTCTAAATCTATATCATACTTTAAACATGATAGCTTTAAACTGATGATTGTGAACATTGAAAATATTTGAAGCTCTCCATAGAAACTGTCATAAAAATGCTTCATGGAAGAGGAAAGAGAATAAGTACAATATATGACAATGGTCTAGAAATCTACAGTGCTGAAAGCTGATATATCTATTACATGTTTACCTCATCACCATATACATCCTATTAAGGTAAGGTCATAAATCATTAGCCTACTTTCAGCAACAATATGATCCTCAAGAGGAATATTGAATTCATTAACCTTACCCAGTCTATACATTTAGATCAATGCAAGTTATGCAAGTTACTTAAAGTGGTATAAATATTTGAAAGTCTATGTAGAGATGTAGATGAATTATACATATAAAAATCAGAGTTGCTTATTTATGAAAAGCTCGAATCTTTGGTTTTTATTTTTAACGTAACTGCAGATCATCAGGGATACTGATTCATATTGAAAGAGCATTACTGTATAAAACACATTACAAAATATAATGACATCTGTGATGTGTTATCCTTCAATCTAATTGGTTCTGAAAACTTCATAATTTCATAAATTTAAAAGTGAAGAAATAAATGAAATAACACAACTGAAAAGATGTGAAACTTACGTGTACTTGTGCTAGACGTTTATCTATTTTGGGTGGTGTATTGGTACGTGCTGATAATGGTGATATAATACTAGGTGTACGGGTACGAGGTGATGTTTTCCTACCAGAACTTAATACTTCATCGCTATCATCATCATTATTATTATCACCACATTTCTCCAGTTTAACATCATGTATCTGACTGAAGATAGATCTGAAAACAACCAATGAAATGATTGTGAATAAGGTACAAAATGGCTTCAATATTATTTCTCAGCAAGCTTATTAAACATTATGATTAGAACATTAAATTATTGAGAAATATATCAGGAAGTTCCACAAGAAACTTTTCAATTTCTAAACAAAACAATTCAGAGAAGCAATAATCACCAAAGATTTGACAAATCTATTAGGACATTTGACAGGACAGTAGAGTGATAGGGCATTTGACAGAGAGCTTTGACAATTGATATGGCATTTGACAGATCTACAAATCTTAAAGTACTTACCGTAAGTGAGGTCTAACAGACTCCAGATCATTTGGTCGACTTAATATAGATAATAATATAGTATCAGAGACAAAATAAAACCTGGGAAAGGCTTTTCTTTTATTGTCTAAATATATAACTAATGATTTAAAACAGATCTCTAACTCTTCTTGCATATGTCTTAATACAACCCCTTTAGGTACTTCTCCACCGTAACAACACTGAAAAATCAACAATAATAATACAAATTTAGCAGATGACTAAGTTCTACAATACAACAAAATATATCTAATAGTAAGGACTGCTAACTTTTCCCTGCCATTGTTAACACAATATTGATACAGGAATCTGGTAAGTATTTGTCAGATTGTAGGAGACATTTTAAATGTTCTAATACGAAGCAAACATCAAGCATTATCAGCTGGCATAGAAAACGTTTTGAGGACTATATCCTTTATGTTTGCCTTTAATATTTACACATTATTTATTTTTCCTGTTTAAACTTACTTGAAGAACATTTCTGGTATCAAAGGCTCTTTTCATCATCTTAGTCCAACCTTTATCTATTCTAGAAAATCTCTTGGCTTCTTGAGGCAACTCCTGAATAATTTCAAATGTTTTGTTTTACCACATACTGATAATCTATCTTAGAAGTCTTAAAGATCAATTGAGAAAGCCATTTTCTCAATATAACAGCTCATGTAAAATCGTCTTTCTTAACTAATATTTAACACCATCAAAGGGAAGAAATGAAATGTGTTATGGTTTGTACTCTCTAGTTCTGCCTATTTTTGTCTGGACAAAGATTCCAATTCATTTCCACATGTCAAAAGAATATTTCATGAGGGTCCTTTAAAATACAAAGCTTAACCAAACTTGATCAAAGTACAATATTAAAATTACAATAAGATACAAGTGTCTTACTTTAACAGCTAGAGAATTGCTAAAAACAGCTTCTAGATACTGCCATACATCTTGTACTTCTAACCACAACTCTAATACTTCTGCCACTTCTTTTAATTTCTCAGCCCAAGATGCAGCTTCATCTCGTAATGGACCAATATATCTTGATGTTAACATACCAGCCAACAGAGCTTGAGCATCTTCTAACTGCTCCAATAAACGCTCAGTAAATGCTTTATCTAAATACATGGGGCCACGTTTTTTGTAATGTTCAAAATTCAAGACTTGTTCTGTCCATTCTTCTTCTGTCTGTCTCATTTTAATTTCAAGTTCTAATTCTCTACTAGCACCACGACAGATATCTTCTATTTCTGATTTATATCTAGATAAATATACAGTCATATATCAAAATAAAATATTTCAAAAATCAAATGAAATGCTTATCAACCAGAAATAACAGTCTCTGTGTTTTGATAGTCTTTAAGCGATGTACTGGGCAAGGTGGGTAGTTGCTATTCAGACTTTAAAGGAATTTGTGTGCAGACATTTACAATCTTAGACTGTCTCAGTAAAATCAAGAATTAGAGATTTGGATTTTTTTGTTGTATCTGAATCTTAGATTCTTTATGCTTATCACACGCCAAAACCTTTACTACTGAGAGAGAAAAAACTGGCAAAGTTGAATCCTGCACCTTCATATCAGCCAGCAAGCATGCTAAGTCATCAAGGCGTATAATGTGTTAGGAAACTTACTTGATTAATTCAATATCTAATAGATGACATAATTTAAATACATTAGCCTCTAACTGGAATGAACTTCCTGTCACCTGCATCACTTGTAACCAATGACGATTTCTTATTTCCTGAAAAACCAGACGATATATCAGTTTTTGTACAAGACATAGTAATATGCACTTACTACTTGGCAACAGGTCATATATTTTAAGCATATTTCAGGTATAAATTCTTCATCAGGATAGCTAATAGGGATAAATACAGAAAGAAAATTGTATTGAGCAGCCTTAATATTTTTTAATTCATCTAAAGTTTAAAAATCCTAGTATGTTGGACAACACAAAATTGGTCAAAAATCTACACAAATTCTAACTTGTTTTTTTTTTTCCAAAATGAAAATTGAAAGCACTACCTGTTTCCTCTATGAAGCATAAATAATAATAAAAATATATATATATATATAAAAATACCAATTATTTATTTATCATATGTTATCAGTATAATAGTGAATGGTGCTGTGATAGGCTTATAGATATTGCAGACCCATGTTAATAAAGCAGGGACAATTTGTGATGTAGGTTCAAGGGATGGACCAAAATTGTTTTTGTCTTGCCAGGTCTTTTTGTGCTGAAGACGTGTATAATACCAGAAGCAAATAATTTGCAGACCCTTGACTAACTAATAAAAACCTATATTTCTCTTATATCATTACTCACAGTGAGTTGAAAATGTTCATCTTTTTTCTAGAAAACAGTAAACAATATGAAAACAACATTCACTCATTCACATCCAAACCTCCAAGCTTTCGACATCAGACATTATTCTTTCTTAATTTCATTTTGGTTGAAATATTAGGGCTTGTTTTTAGAAAGGTCAGAATTTAATGGTTAATATTGCTATTAAGATAAATCAACCAATGCATTAGCTACAATATTTCTTATATATTAAATTGATGTTAAGCTATACTCAACTCCACATTGGTGAGCAAAAAAACCTCATTCAAAATACAATTATTTTCAAAACATCTTGATTTTCGACAAACTCAAACAGAATTTCAATCAAAAGACAACTACAATAATCAAGATAAATATAAAACCAACCTTTGAAGCAAGATTATGTAGTAGAGGAAATACTTCTAGATATGTTTGTAGTTTAGTTTTTAAATCATTATAGGCATCCCAATCTTTGAGTTTACTTGGTAGAGCTAAACATTCATCCCAGTAGGTCTCAGTCTAAAAATAATAACAAAGATACAGGCTAAATATACCCTTCATATACTTTGAAAGTCTCATTAGTATTCATCAGTCAACTCTGTGAGAATATTGATAGGAACTCTTCTCTACTATAAACAGTACAATGCAACATAATCAAAAAAAAAACACAAAATGAAACAAAATAATACTTGGTTATGATTAGTTCAAACCCTGGTTGGAGTCACGAGGGAGATTGTCCATGTTTTAATTTAAAAAAAAAAAGCCATGATACAAAGGATGAAATATATACACATAATATTTACCTCCATTGAAGCAGCTTCTAGATCAACATCAGCCCATAACGTATCTCTAAATTTATTGTCAAATTTAATAAACTTCTGGAACAATCCATACAGCTGACTTAATAAATCTAATTCCTGAAATTAAAATAACAAAGACAGGAATTTCACCTTATAATCACTAATTTTTCTTCATTCATCAGTATACTCAGGTAACTAAATCCAGTGATTGATCAGATTTTCCTGGATGCTTCCAGTTGATAGCAGACCTACGAAAATCCAATGCTCCTAGATAGGCCAACTGTCATTAGCACAGCTTTCTTATAGCTAATGGTAGAGCTTCAATACAATAATTATTGTGGTTAGTGACGCTGACAGGAATGTCCACATTTTTAGTGCATTTGTCAACACAGAATCCCTTTCACATAACTCAATAGATTCATATGAAAACTTTACCTCGCCTGTTTTGTCTAATTCAGGGAATGGTTTACATGGAATACCAAATAATTTGGAGACAGAATCTAAAGTCTTTCGTTTGGCATCATACTGGGTATATCTATTCTGGAAGTCTTGTAATCTAGATACAGCTTCAGCTGGTGGGATACCAGGAACTGCTGGTCCTTGTGCATCAAATGCATTTCGGAACTGTATGACTTCTACTACAAATGTCTAAATAAAAGAAAGGAATTTGTTAGCACAGAAATAAATATAATCTTTATACTTGAAGGCTGTAAAAAAAGAACATAATATTGACTCATAAAATAATTGATAAAAATGGCTTTAAAAAGTTAGCTCCGAAAGATTATAATGAATTAGAATTGTGAGTGTTCACACAGTTAACTCTTTTGCTGAGTTCAATATTATCATTATAATTAAAAACATGATTACCTTGACTTGTTTATCTAGTTCTTGTTCAAATGCTCCTCTCCTTTCCTTTAATAATACTTCTCGAACTTGATCAGCTAATTCTATCAATTCTTGCCATTTCTCTCTTAATTCATCAACTTGTTCTACCTCATTACGTGGTAAACGTAACTCAAATTCTCTGTAATTATAATAATCATCCCCAGATCAATATTTATTGAAAACAGACGAGCGTCGAGCAGTCATATTTTGATATCTTTCGATGCCAAGACCTTGACTCAACTCAGTTGATTGATAGCTGTTTTATCAGAAGCACCATCAACGTTTTTGAAGAACTCATGATGTTTAATGCACTTCGATTTAACGACACATTAAGAAAAACATTTCCAGTGTATATCATACATAAGATTACAAAAATTTGTAGCCTGCCCAACAGAGCTCATAATATTTCATTTTAACACAGAATCTAGAAATCATGTCGGAAAGTCTTGCCAGAAAATACTTTGAAAGGCCACACACAGTTACATAAGTAAAGTAAAAGTAAACTTGATCATACCTTAGTTTAGAGTACATAGTTTCAATAGGTAAATAAACAGCATCTATTTTATTTTCCATATCACGTAGATCTTCTAATAGATGTAATGAACTGTTTAACTGATCTAATGATTGTACAAATTGTTCTAATCTCTTCTTCACATTCTCTCTATAACTTACTGCACTGTCCAACTTTTTCTGAAATAGGAGTACAGAGTAATATATTAATCTATTATTATACTAGTCACGTTCTGTAATTCTAATATAGAGAGTTTCTTGCCCCTAAAAATGTCTTTTCAATTCTAGCAGTTGTCTAAATTAAGCTATGTGAAGAAACATTCCATACAATTGATATATAAAATACTTTAAGAGGGAAACAAAGGCAAACTTCTGCTCATGAAAGATTTTTTTAATATTTTTCCACAGAAATAATTTTCCGAAAACAAAAGAATGTTAATGATAAATTTGATGTATGGTTTGACTTATTCACACAATTCAGATAAAATTCAAATGAATGTCAAATCAATTCATAAAAAAAGAATTTACAAACCTTCGCTTCTTCATGTAGAACTGTAGCAAATTTAGTTTTCCACGCCATAGCAAATCCATGAAGAGCATCTTTAATAGGGTCTGTATAGAGACAGACTGATCCAACTGGTAATATAGTGGGTATATTCAATACTTTCTTCTCTATAGATAGAAATCTCTCCACTTCTCTCTTGATAGCAACAATACCAGGGTCCGCAGCAATAAATTCATGGAAATTACCATGCATATCATCTTTCCATAGAAAATTATAGTAACTAAAGTGATACAGATGTTTATGAACGTAGTTTTCTAGTTCTGAAAAAAAAAAGATTAATCAGTGCCTGTGGATTATGAATCTACAGTTCCTTGTCTCAAGCCAAGAACTAAATATTTCTGCAATTCAGTCCACCTAAAATCAGAAGGGATCACCCAAACCTAACCCTAGATGGGCTCTTAGCCATCAGCTTCATGACTAAAGATGAAAAGAAGACAAACCTTCTATAACAGAAGATAACTGTTGTTGTAATTGTATCACTGTATCATCAGTTGATATCTCAGGATAAAATTCTTCATCACCATGACTACCTAACCAGCTTATATCTACAACAAAATTATAGCAATTTCAGAAGAACAAGAAAGAGAAGAACAAGTTCCAAAGTTCATATAAACGTGGAACGTTCAAGGGAATGTAACAGATTTAAATATTTAACGACTTCATATTTTAGATTAAAAAATTCATCTATGTCATGACTTAGATAATTTGAAATGGGATTTCTCATTGACATCCATAAGATACTTACTTTTATTAGCCTGCATTATAGCATTAGAGACATCAGTAATAGCTTTCTGTACCACATTTAATTCTGGCTCTACTATTATATTAGGTATATTAAATTTGACTTGAATTTCAAACCTATAACAAAATAATATTCCATTTAATCACTTCTGACTTATCCTGTATTTGGTAACAGACATGTGGACACTTCATGTGAATACTCATTTCAATCCAAACCAATTAAATTAACAAAGGATGAAGTCAAAAAACTTACTGTAAATGTGTAACTTCTGAAGGATCTTTACTATCACCAGACCATGTCATATTAGATAACATAGACATACCGGTATCAGGTCGGTCTGATAGAGCTGATCCTAATCGACTATAGGGTGTATCTCGTCTACTACCAGGGCGAGGTGATATTGTACCCTCACTGGAGAAAGTTGATCCTGGTGTAATAGGTCGGAGTTGTTCTACTGTACAGCCTGAAGCATCAGCTAATGTTGATAATGATCTACAGACAGAACTCAATACAGCTTCATAGACTTGATCATGGTAATATGCTAAAACATAAAATATCTAAATAAATATGAAGTAAAAATTCAAATATCTAAAACTAACATATTGTGCACATCATCTGAACAACTGGTACACATTTTAATATCAAGCACATTTCTTTATATCTGGCAGTTTGGTTAAAACCCTTTCTCAGACTAACTTTGTTTTAAGGTGTACACATGATTGGGGTTTACAAAGAGACTTTCTTGACTTTGGATTCAACTTAGCCACAAAGACTACTACAGTCCAAGAATATTGATGACAAATATCATTACCTATGAGTTTATAAACTAAAGCTTCCTCTAATACAGCTTTCTCTTTCTCTCTCTGTACTTCTTCCTCATCAATAATTAACATCATCTTTTTATCTTTATTTCTACCTGATTCACCCTATATATTAATATAAATATTATACTTTAACTACTTCATCAATAATTAACATCATCTGTATATCTTTATTTCTACCTGATTCACCCTATATATTAATATAAATATTATACTTTAATTACTTCATCAATAATTAACATCATCTTTTTATCTTTATTTCTACCTGATTCACCCTATATATTATTATAAATATTATACTTTAACTACTTCATCAATAATTAACATCATCTGTATATCTTTATTTCTACCTGATTCACCCTATATATTAATATAAATATTATACTTTAATTACTTCATCAATAATTAACATCATCTTTTTATCTTTATTTCTACCTGATTCACCCTATATATTAATATAAATATTATACTTTAATTACTTCATCAATAATTAACATCATCTGTATATCTTTATTCTGATTTTCACATGATCTCAAATGATCATATAATTCAATTTTGAATTTTGTCTCACCTCTTTGATAAACCTTTTGGAATGCTAAAGCTATCAGACAGAACATTTATACTCTGTATGCTTTTTAAAACTGCTACCTTATGAGTTGTTTTAGTGTCAAAGATTTAAAAGTGTCTAATTGCTAGATTTAGAAAACCTTTTTATATCAATCAATTTAATGAAAAAACGCAAAACAACAGAAAGCAATATTTGAATAATTTAAAAGTAAGAAACTGAAATGTGAAATATATAAGAAAGTAAGATTTTGTTAATGTAGTAGGATTGAAGGAACACAAAGAATTTCCTATTAAAATTTGATAAATCCAATCAACATTGCATACATAAATAGAGAATAAATACAAACTAGACTTTGTTTTCTCTTGGAAAATAATCCTCCTACAGATTTCAGCAAATTTTTCTCATTCTTGGGTTTTGTATTTCTGGATTTTGACTGAAGAGACATCTTGGAATTATTGGAACTTTTCATGGTAATAGAGTAATCCTGAAAGCCAGAAGTGGGTTAGAAGCAAACAAAGCGAAAAAAAGAAGATAATTTGCAGGAATAAAAATATAATTGCTCAAAATCAGACAATGATTGTTCAAAATCAGATAATAATTATCTAAATAAAATCAGATAATAATTATCTAAATAAAATCAGATAATAATTATCTAAATAAAATCAGATAATAATTATCTAAATCAAATTAGATAATAATTATCTAAATCAAATCAGATAATAATTATCTAAATAAAATCAGATAATTATCTAAATAAAATCAGATAATTATCTAAATAAAATCAGATAATTATCTAAATAAAATCAGATAATAATTATCTAAATAAAATCAGATAATAATTATCTAAATCAAATCAGATAATAATCATCTATATAAAATCAGATAATTATTTAAATAAAATCAGATAATGATTATCTAAATAGAATAAGATAATGATTATATAAAATCAGTTAATGATTATTCAAATAAAATCAGACAGCATGATTATTCAAAATCTGACAGCATGATTATTTAAAAAATCAGATAATGATTATTTAAATAAAATAAGATAATGATTATTCAAAATCATGATAATGACTCTTCAAAATCAGACTATGATCAATTATATTTTTTTCATTCTTCTGCATATGGAGAATAACAATGCTAATCTTTTACTTTCTAAACTTTATTGAAAGGGGAAACTTGAATTTCCATTATATTGCTGAGGCTTGGCAAAATTATAAATGAATAATTTCAGCAACAATTTATTGAAAAATTCCAAACATGGTACAGAAATAAAAAATTAAGCTTAGCATTGCATAGAAAGGTGAAAGACTAGATCACTACACTACTGAAACAATTGAATTTTGAATCTTGACTAAGTCTTTAGTTCTAAAACTCAAAACACTAGTCTACAGTTTATACCTTTTTCTTACTATCAGTGCCGTTTATTTTCTAAAAATGATAAAAGTGATATTTGAAGATATCTATTTAGGTTGTGAAAATATTGATTGATAGTACAAGATTTTTAGTAAAAATTTGAGCTAAAACCAGTAATGGGAATATCACAATTCATAGGCTTCATACAATGGATTGAACTAATGTGGTCCAAAATTTGGTCCATTGTGTGAAAATTATGATTTGTAATACTTGCATAACCAATTTCTGCTCCTAGTTTATTTCTCAAGATCAGTTGGTGCTGTTGGGATGGTTGCTTATACTATAGATCTGTGCAATACAAGGCTAAACTAGAGTACCATACCACCAAATTCTATACAGAGACATCAAGAGAATGAAGGAAGATTCAGCTAATCACTAGAGTTGACTAACCTTTTTGGTACTGAGTAAGTTAGCCACACTCTGTAAACCTTCTACTACTGTCTGTACATATTGATGTAGCTGTTGAGATCTATCCTCTATACCTTCTAACATTTTATCTCGGAACTCGACTGGTGACTAGAAGAAATAATTTTCAAATGTCATTAAACCATTATAAATTCATTTGGCTTTTTGCAGGCTGATTTACTCATTGAGGAAGCATTATATGAAAACTGCTACCAATGTACCAAACAGTTATTTTGAATTTTAGGTTTCATTTTGTAGTTTGGATAGTTTGTACTTGGTTTTTTTCATAGTTTAATTAGATTGTAAGAAATATTTTAGGCAGCCATTGAAAGAAAAATGATCAAATTTTAACTAATCTGGGACCTTACCAATATAAAATAACATTATCGAAAATAATATGAAAATTTCCATCACAAACATACCAATTTTGACATATTCAGGTCTAGTCAAAGAAAATAACTAAAATAGGATTTCAGCAATATGCACAAGCATATCAAATTTGTATCAAAATCAGGGAAACAACATTATACTTTGTGGAAATATAGTAGAAACTTACCCATGTTTGAGAAAATGCTAGTTGACTATCATATAGATAAAATTGACTAATAGTACCAATAACACCTAGTACTTTATTATCCATTAATTCGTTGACTTTCTCCTCTAAATTCTGTAGTTTACTAGTAGCTGTATGTATCTGATGTAGGAAAGCATCTGAAATAACAAATACATGGTCAATTCAGAGGGCATTTGATGATAATAATATATTGATGCCAAGATCATGCATTCTCACAATGGTAAGTTTATATGGGATTTAACATAAAAAGAATTACACACAACTATCATTGTGGTCCTTATACAAATATAATGAAAGTTGTCTCCCTTTGGAGAGTAACTAATTAAGCCTCAAATGTTAAGGTTTTGATCATAAATTGATGAGCCGTTTCATAATTGTGTTTCTGTGTAAATTCAACTAATCATGGTAGAAATTCTGGACAGATAGATAAGGAGACAACCATCCAAGCAATACCAGCATAAAAATGTTTAAAAAAAATTCTGCAAAAAGGTCAAAATTTTATTTAACTAACCAATATTCATACTATTCCAAGCTAGTGTATTAAGACCAGGCTGTAATTGTTGTTGTACATTCTCTATATGTGGTGTAAATAAATCACGTAAAGATTCAGGTATAGACTCGCAAACTGATCTATATTCATTTAATACCAATTCTAAATGTCCTTTATAACTTTTAAATCTTTCTTCTTGCTGCATTATATTCATAGCTGATTCTGGTATCTGTATATCTAATCTTGTTAACCATTTAGCTTCATGTATTAACTCTAATACTCTGTTAATATAAATCAATTACAAGACCTTACAAAATGAATATGCTAATGTTGTCAGCATTATATGCAAAGAAAGATTTCTCCTTTGTAAAGTCATTTTCTCATGCCGATAACCAATGGTGCCAATCAAGTTAATATCTGCAACATTGAATTATTGATACTAATTGTGCAGATTTATAAGCCATAAAGACACCTGATGTCATTGTCAAAAAACAATGTGGATGAGCAGCCTACCTCTCATCAGAGTTGACAACAACTTCATTAGTATCAGGGTGATAGACAAATAATGTAGCTCTCAGACCACTTTTAGCTAGATCTATTCTGTTCTTCCACTGGGTAAACCAGAGACTTTCAAATGTAACTAGAGCTGTAGCTAGTCTGTTATAAATCCTAACTATTCTACCATACTCTGTTAACTGAGTGACAGCTTTAATATCTCGAAATACTTTCATTGGATCTTCTATACGTTTTAATAATTGACGTGACCAATAGATGGCTCCAGCTACTGGTGGTGCATTACGTACTGTCAATGGATGATCCTATACAATAACAAATAATAATGGTAAAATTTAAGCAAAATTCACGGAACAGAAAAGAATGAGAAGGGCAATATTTCTACTAGCACTAGCGATCTCATTGAATGTAAAAAGTAAATTTTTCTTAGTACATGGAGAGTCAAAATAGTGGTCACTTTGCATTATATTTGTAATCATAAAACTACTTTCCAACATTATTGAAACTTACTTTATTTTTCTCATAAATTTTCTGAACATCTTCTAAATCTGATTCATACCAATTAAAAACTTCTACAAATTTATCAGAAATAGTACCTCTTATACCAGGTCGACTCTGAATGGGAGCAAACCTTTGAAAAGAAAAAATAAACTAGTCTAAGAAAGTTTTTAAACAAAAATATGTGTTAAGGAAATAAACACTGGCAAAATGATTACAATCGCACTAACAGACTTTCAATAATTTATTTTGATGAAATATTTGTATGTTATAGATAATTAATTCTTACTTTGTAATGATCTCTAATCCTTGTTGTGTTTTCATCTTTCTAACAAATATAGCATGCATATAGGCTGCTAGAAACTTCTCTAATTCTTGTACAATATTTATGTAACTATTATAATGATGATCAAATTTCTCTTTATCCTGTAACAAAATTCAACTCAAAATACATAAAAGGTGAACTAAATTTAACCTTATTGCGATCTTTTTTAAAGTAATACTTGTGTATTGAAATTTGTTTAATTTTAGGTGGTTATCAAACATCAAACATATTTCATGTTGATTTATATGGACAGGATTTTGAATTAAGCAATTCTTCAAAGACTTCTGCCACAAACATTTTATTTACTGATTTGGATCTGCAAGAATGCTCAATATTTATAATTCATATTTCCAAGTTCAGTTCAAATAACATTACCTTTGATTCAACATCTAGCAGAGTTTTAGTGGTGACATTTTCACTCATAGACTTAGTCATGTTGGACACTTGTTCTTCTATTATACTACTAATACTAGGTCCTTCATCTTCATCATCTTCATTATAATATCGACCTAGATAAATAATAACATCATATAATTATACTACTAATACTAGGTCCTTCATAATCATTATAATATCGACCTAGATAAATAATAACATCATATAATTATACTACTAATACTAGGTCCTTCATAATCATTATAATATCGACCTAGATAAATAATAACATCATATAATTATACTACTAATACTAGGTCCTTCATAATCATTATAATGTCGACCTATATAAATAATAACATCATATAATCACACTACTAATACAAGGTCCTTCATAATCATTATAATATCGACCTAGATAAATAATAACATCATATAATTATACTACTAATACAAGGTCCTTCATAATCATTATAATATCGACCTAGATAAATAATAATATCATATAATTATACTATTAATACTAGGTCCTTCATAATCATTATAATATCGACCTAGATAAATAATAACATCATATAATTATACTACTAATACTAGGTCCTTCATAATCATTATAATGTCGACCTATATAAATAATAACATCATATAATTATACTACTAATACAAGGTCCTTCATAATCATTATAATATCGACCTAGATAAATAATAACATCATATAATTATACTACTAATACAAGGTCCTTCATAATCATTATAATATCGACCTAGATAAATAATAACATCATATAATTATACTACTAATACTAGGTCCTTCATAATCATTATAATATCGACCTAGATAAATAATAATATCATATAATTATACTACTAATACTAGGTCCTTCATAATCATTATAATATCGACCTAGATAAATAATAACATCATATAATTATACTACTAATACTAGGTCCTTCATCATCATCAATATATCAGCCTTCTTTATATATGTAGCTGAGCTGACTAAAGATAAAGCAACACTTACGAATAATTGCAAGTTCTTCTTCAGTAAGACCATTTTTAGTGTTGACTACATCAAATATCTCATCTCCATGATCATTGTGGGAGATTTTCTTGCCTTCCTCTTCTTTTTTATCATCATCAATAGTTTCTTCATCTTCAGCTATTGCACCTAGTTGATTTCTATCAATATTTAAATCTAACACTGGTGTTTTACTGTATTCTTCTTTTAACTCTACAACATTCCAAATAACACGATGAAGAACTACAACATTCAAATTAAAATTGTAGGGTAATAGATAGCATAGCTCTATAACATTACAAATAACATGATGAATAACTACAACATTCAAATTAAAATTGTAGGGTAATAGATAGCATAGCCCTATAACATTCCAAATAACATGATGAATAACTACAACATCCAAAATAAAATTGTAGGGTAATAGATAGCATAGCCCTATAAGTATAATATTCCAAATAACATGATGAATAAATACAACATTCAAATTAAATTGTAGGGTAATAGATAGCATAGCCCTATAAGTATAACATTCCAAATAACATGATGAATAACTACAACATTCAAATTAAAATTGTAGGGCAATAAATAGCATAACTCTGCATATCAAGTACAAGTCAAACAAATTGATTGATAATGTATAGCACAAAAAAGTTGATTAAGAATATATTATGTCTATCATACCAATTTATTGTACATATCTGCAGCAAATAAAAAAAACAAAAACTTCAAAATCAATTTTGACAATTATAATTAAGGGTCAATTCTTTCCATCATTATAAGATTGACTCTCCAACTAACCTTGAGCTTTCTTTTCTTGAGCTTCCTTTTTATACCTATATTTCTCATCTTGTTCAGGTTCTTCTATCACTAAATCTTCCTTTCTTGGTCTAGGTATACCAGTGGACACTGATACCATTCTATATATAGAAAAATATAACATATTTATACAAACTTATTGGACTTAAAGACGACATATACATGCACAACCTTTAAAGTTTTCAAACAATTTCATGAATAAATAATACATTTATATCTTATGACAAAAGATTCTTATTTTCAATATCTAAGATTGTATAGTTGCAATCAAATTACGAAAAAGGGAACTGTATATCCTTTTAGTTGTACCAGCATGTGCAGAAATTGCTTTGCCTCATTATGTGTGTCTGATGCTAGATTTCTTGCTACTGTAGAGTGTCTTAAACATAATTGCAGTATTGTCAAAAGGCCACCATCCTCTAAAGGTCTGGTAAACAAAATTCTGATAAATACAAAAAAAGTTGATTCAGAATCAATAATTACCTAGAATATTGAGACATAGTGTTCATCACATCTAACAACTGTCTAATTCTACCACAGAAACTGTCAAAATGGGACAAGATAGCATCTTCATCTGTTAGTGGTACACCATGTCCAACATTATCACCAAATAATGATAGAGTTTTCTTAGAAGGTGAGAGAGTAGGTCTGGACATACTGGTAGCTGTTGTCTGTTTACTGCGACTTAAAATAACAAGTTAATTATCAATTCAAAATTGATTATTCATATGTGCCACCATTCAAACCACTGAAAAGCATCAGTGAGCTATTGACAAAAAGCTAAAACTCTGCTGGGCTATTTTTCTTACCTTAATTGCAGACACTAGGCAAATTTTTCAAAATATTATAAAGAGCTAAAATTGAGCTCTATTAATTACGTAAGCTTAGAAAGGATATAAAAAGTCATACCTGGACATTAAACTAGCACCAACAAAACTACTAACAGAGGAGAAATGAGACAGATTGGTAACATTGCCTAATGAATCCCGTAATGATCGTAAAGCTTCTCTATAAAAACTCTGTAGTGTTAGACATGATCTTAATCTACCATATAAACTTTTATCTATTACTCCAATATCTTTACTTTCTTTTCCTTTACTTCTAGCTCCCTGTTATAATAATACCATGTTAATTAATATAGGGGGTTCTTACAAGTGCATCAATGATCACTGATCTCTCAATAGGTTTCTCTAGCATATAGGGCAAAATCTGCTTCTCCTTCTAAGAAACAGATTTGTGGTAACATTCTGTATACAAAAGTTGAAAGATTCAAGATAAATACCTTTAGTTTCGATTCAATTTGACTACGTAGTAATTTTTGTTGTGGATCAGTCATGTTTAAATTATCTCTGTTAATTTCTGTTGATACTTTCTTCCATAAATAATCTTCATCTTCTACTATATTCATAGTACATTCTTTAATATGTTCTTTACAAGCTAATACTATTTGATTGGTTACCTAATAAAATGGAATAAACAGTCATTACGCATTATCTTCAGGCAGAAAAAATAAAAATAAAACGCATAAATATTATTATTCTATTAAAACTTCGTCATAAAATTAAACATTTTTATTTAATCACAAGTGCTTTGTAGTGTCAGTTTGCATATGAATTGGAAAGTGATCATTCAGAAGTATTGAAGCATTTTTCTTCAAATTTGAATTCAGGGTTCTTGAAATTTTAAATTGGGCACATTTCTAGTAGCATGACAAAATGGTGATGGTTAAATAGGCCTCATGTCTCTAAGATATAACATATTTAAATCTCTAGACGCCCTAATATACATTTACTTACTTTAGCTAAAACTATACCCAGAAATCCAACACGACCATAATATCTGGATATAGATTCCATTTGTTTAATACTATTAGTAAGTCCTGGTATAGCTGTATTCATAATCGAATGAGGTGTGGCATCATTGTACAGCTGATCAAAATGACGTCTCAAAGATTCTAAGTATTTCACTTTATCTTTGGTATCGTTCATAGCATCTGTTATACTGAAAAATACAGAGAATTAAACAATATCTCTTATGACAAGAAAATTGTCAATGCATGTACTTGTTAATATTTTGTCTATTTGAAATAAATTTGTGTTGCACATCATTTTGCTCTACTTATTGGTGAGCAAAGGAAAAATTTAGCAATGACCAACATTTTTTTCAGATTTCCTTTTTACGAAGAATCTCAGGTGACAGGGGAAAGTTCAAATGAACTTAGTTGATTAACAAACTGATAGAGCTCAAATTTACTTTATTGATTTTCATAACATTGTTTTTTCTATATTAGCTACAACTGAGCTCTATGAGATAAAACTTGTTTTAATAATAGAGTACTATGGTATATTTACCCAACATCTATAATTTTCCATCGACGTAATAGTCGAGATTTAGCAGTAATTAATACACCAATCACGGCTTTACATTCCTTGGATTTTAATTGTTCGGTTAAACTTGTTAATAGTCTTTGTCTTCTACGCCATCTTTCTAATTCTGATAAGGGACCAGCATTAGGATCCATAAATCTGTTGAAGGAAAAAAAATAATTTTGAAGTTTCACTCATATTAAATTGACTCAGATGTGGATAACTATCAATCAAGTTTGAAATATCAACTCTAGGTCATTCAAGGTACAAATCTTAATAATAAGTAAGTAAGGAGTCCACAGAAATAAGAAGGAATTTTCCTTTAACATGAATTTGATACTTTGCACAAATGAATACAAATTGTGTACTCTTACATGACAGTCTTTCCAAATCTACAGTTTGCCTTCATACCCTTCCCTTCTTTCACCCAAATCAATGATAAATGGACAATACATTGGAAAATTCTACATGAATGAAACATATTTTCCAATTACAATAATGATGTCTAATTATGATACAAACCTTTCATCTGATGTATCGACTATTATAGTCTCTATTGTATTCATCCAATCTGTCACTAGCTCTTCATAATCACCTATAATCTGACTATCTAATGCTGCAGCTCTTTGAAGTTTAAAATCATTCAATACAATATTCTCAGGTAATTTCAACATCTGGAAAAAATGTTAATATGAGAATTGTTGATATAAGTTTACAAGAATCTTAAAAAATCTTAATTTTGGATTTTTCTCTCTATAAGCTTATGATGAGATTAAGATTTCTAATTATTCTTATTTCCACAAGTACCATTACTTTATATGAAGTGCTAAAATAGCATATCAAGATATGATTGCATTATTTCATTTAAAAATTGTAAGATCAAGTACAAGAATGACACTATGATAACTTAATGAAGTTACTTTAGTCCATATTAACTTATAAAATAAATCAAATGCTTAAATTGGTGACCTTAAATGTTAATCTTAAAGAGGTGTTAAAAGAGCTATAATCTAAAGTATTATTAGATACTAACCAATTGTTTGGAGGAATGCATGGATGCTGTCGTTTCATTTAAAGCAGTGACAAATTTGTCCATGTTCTGAATCAAATTTGATTGACCTTCTTCATTGCACTGTCCCCAATCTTTTTGTGCTCTTATAAGAGGTATGTAGATATCTGACAATAATGTATTTAATGTTTCTATTGTGTTATGTTTCAGTTCACCGCAGAATATGTCTCTTTCCATTCGTGATGGATCAACATCTTTTTCAGTTTTGTTACGTAAAAAGTACAAAATTGTGACACTATCCAACTCCACATCTTTTAAAGCAGCCAAATTTCCTGTAGAATGGAGTTCTCTTGTGGACAATAACCCATTTTCGGGCCTTTCGCAATAGAAAAATAAACGACATGGTCCTCCTGATCTTAAAAATTTGTTAATCAAACTCAGTGTGGTCTCTTCACACATGAAGTCTTCCAATAAAGTAGGATTGTCATAACCGCCAATTTTAAAGCTTTCTTGGATTTTTCCAGCAATCCACCAATGTCTTTCATCCATCTTTGAGATCGTATGTGCTTTCACACGTCGAAACTAACTATAATTGACAGTTTGGAAACTTTTTCACAAGTAACAACATTGAAAAACACTTCTGCTTGAAGTCAGCCATGTTGTTGTTGACAACGAAATGCCCGGATGAAGAAATCTGAAGGTGCGCGTTCGAGTTTGGTTTCGAACATAGATGAGTTCAGCAGGATCAAAACTATAAATACTGCTTTTTGAACTAATGCAATGTGTAAATCAAATACTTTGATCTCATTAAAACACTTCTTGATTACAAAACTGTTCAGAAAACACAGACAAATTTCTTTCTAAATTTTATCATTTTGTGATGGTCGATTTGACGAGAGGCGATTTGTCGGTTGACCTTGACCGGACAGTAATTTCACTTTATTCCATTATTGGATCATTTGGGGTTTAACAGTGACAAAGTCCTATCTCCGACCATAGTGAGCTCGGAATATAATTTCACTAATTTTCAAAGCAAAATTTTACAATTGCATGCCATTTGTCATAGAATGCCTTTTTCAGTACCGTAGGACTTTAAAACTCTAAGTTAAAGGTTGGCAAGTTTGATAATTTCACATTTGAGGAGGTAGTTGTAATGTAGGCCTACAAGACCCGTCTGAGCACTTGACACAATTCAGTTCTGCCTGCACTCCTTCCTTCAGTCCCTGAGAAATGTTATACCTTGTCACATCACCCACGGTTATTTTCAAAGAGGGTATAGTTAAGATTAATCCTAGAATGTATCAAGAATATCTTATAAAATAAGGTGTTGGCAAAGACTTAAAGTATCGTATTATTTCTTTTCCAGCTGCTGAAAATTAACAATTCAGGTTGATGTGAAATGTTAGAATATTGTTATATGGAATGAAACATCTAACGACACATACAAAAGATAAACCTTATAAATGTGATCTCTGTAGTAAATCATTTACCAGGAAGTATGGTTTGGGAAGACATATAAATACACATACTGGAGAGAAACTTTTTAAATGTGACATCTGTAGTAAATCATTTACTAGAAGTCATGATTTAACAAGACATTGTGAGACACATTCAGTTGTGGAACCATACAAATGTGATCTTTGTATTCAATCGTTTACTACAAGCTGTAATTTGACCAGATATATTTTGATATATTTTAATAGAAGTCATGATTTGACAAGACATGCTAGAACACATTCTGGAGAAAAACCTTACACGTGATTATTGTAAACAATCATTTAGCATGAACCATGATTTGACTAGACATATTAGAACGCATACAGGAGAAAAACCTTTCAAATGTGATTTTTGTGATTTCATTTGCTGGCAGGAAATTGCTGCAAGGGGTGAACTGAAAAGACATAACAGAACGCATACTGGAGAGAAACCTTATACTTGTGATTTTTGTTGTAAATCATTTGCTTCTAGCAGTGAAATGATGAGGCATGTAAAGACTCACACAGGAGAAAAACCACATAAATGTGATGTTTGCAGTAAATCTTTTGTTCAGAAAAGTCATTTCATTTGTCATATGAGGATACATACTGGGGAAAAACCTTATGAATGTGATGTTTGTAGTGATTCATTTTTTCAGAAAAGTCATTTAACCAATCATGCCTTAAAACATACTGAACTTAAACCTTTTATGTGTGAATTTTGCTACAAATCATTTTTTTTAAACCGTAACTTGACAATACATACAAGGACACACACAGGAGAGAAACCCTATCAATGTGATTCTTGTGGAAAATCATTTATCAGCAACAGTAGTTTGACAAAACATATCAAATCACACAGTTGGGAGAAGTAGGGCTGGGTATTGATAACCAAATTGAGATCGATTATCCATGGCATGCTAAATATTTTTAGTTAATCTTCTAAATACTACATAACAATCTAGCCAAAGTTTTAATTCTATGGGTTATTTTTGTATTATAGAAGATGATGCAGTTATTACTATTATGATGTCGTAGGTAATAAATGCATAACAATAAAAAAAGGTTAAAACAGAGTGATATGTTTATGCTAAATTGCAGCAGAATTGATTTGAATAGTGAAAAATGATATGTTAAATGGAAATTGTGCTCTATCAGTTGATAAAGCAAATATACGTGGAGGACTGCATCACTTTATGAAAAAAATTACAGGTGACATAAATTAGTTGAGTCAACCATTTAGATACCTGTATGCCTTTCACATTAAGTGTATTTCTATTAAAAAAAATCTTTAGTCTTAAATATTAAAGAAAAATACTTTAATAACAAGAGATTAAAAGAACATTGAGAGAAAGGTAATATTTAAATTGAACAGGAATAATAAAGCAGTAATAACACAACATAAATTATAAAAAAAATGACATTAATAGAACAATTATTAAAGGGGGAGTGAGTGTCAATTTTAATAAAAACTGGAATTGTGATCGCCCTGTCTTCCAATGGTCAATAATATTAAACCTACTAAAATAACTTTCCTTTGCTTCCTCTTCTTAACCACTTAAAATTCTATTCAATATGATCAAAGTATTACATGAATTTATATTAATATTGTGAATGAAATAATGGCCTTTACATTAATGTTAATCATTGTTTTAGATACTTCATTTTTGAAAATAATAATCTTCAGTTTCAACTCTGCTTTGAGACTATTACAGAGTTGGCACACACTCCCACTTTAATTCTTCAAAAGCTAAAATAGATATTTCATTGATATATGTAGTATGATGACAGCTTGCATACATCATTCACTGAAAACCGCCTCTATATAAACAAGATTTTATAAAGAATGATTGGTTTAACTTATTTCTACAGGATTTGACATGAAACCATGAAAACTCTTTTGGACTTAAAACCATGACAACAGGAATTCCATTGTCATAATGCTTGTAATTCCCTTGCTAAGAAATGAATCGGACATTGTTGTGTCCACTATTTTTTGTTTGAATGTAATGATACCTTAACCGATGATCAAAAGCACTTCTACATAAAAAAAAAAAAACAAATGAAAAAATAACATTCACATTGAAAAATATTTTGGTCCTTTACAATTCTGGATTTTTCTGTTTTCTAAAATATTTTTGTGATTCTTTAGGATCTGGAATTATCTGAAAAATCAAAAAAATATTCATGACATTACTGATATGGTATGGATTTGGGAGGTCTTTATACTGATCTAGTAAGCTTTGGTTAATAAGATTTTGTTGGAAAAATTAAGCAACTGATGGCAATTATTGACAACTAAGATTTTGGGTCATCATTATTGTGCTTATTACAGCGACTGATCAGATCTTCCCCAGCAAGAAGAAAATGGTATTTAAATATTACAAATTGAAGTTAAGAGCAAAGTAATTCTTTAATACTATAAACTTATATCTGAGAGATTATCTGATAAGTACTGTCAATGATGCAATTTTGGCTATGAACTTATCAAGGAAACTGTAAAAAAAAGCTTTCTATTCTGTGTAACATAAAATAAATAGAAATATAACACAGTAGCTTACAGTATCTCCTCCAGGTTTCCATCCAGCAGGACAAACTTCGCCATGTTGATCAGTATATTGAAAGGCTTGAACTAATCTTAATGTTTCATCTACAGATCTTCCTACTGGTAGATCATTCATAGTAACTTGTCTTAATATTCCTTTAGGATCAATGATAAACAGTCCTCTAAAATACAACATAAATAATATTGATACAGCCATCTTCATGTTGGAAAGGATTCGAGGACCTTGAACCATTTTTTTGTCTTGAACACTCATATTTTTACCATCCTTTTTTGTCTGTTCCTACTCCAGAAAACCGTCTAGGTAATGATGTCACAATCTCACAAACCATTTAATACCAAATTTTTACGACCAAAATTTTGTAATTTGGTGCAGCAATTATGATATGGATTCACTTTTTTTTTTATTCCATGACAATTATTTCATAAAATTAAATCTAGAGATAATGTCCACATTTGCTTATACTCTTACCTTAGTGAATGTCCTAAATCTTGTAAATAAACACCATAAGCTTTTGATATTTCATGAGTTATATCAGATAATAATGGAATCTTCAATGGACCTAAACCTCCCTTATTTCTGGGTGTATTTATCCTGGAAGACACGTCATTTCTTTTTATTTTGATTTATAAAAAAAAAATAGTTTAAAAACCGCAAGACTTTCTCATGATGATTCTAGAAACAAAACAAATTTAAATACAGAAAAAATTACTTGATTGATCTTCATTATATATTATCTTTCATTTCAATTTCAGACTAACAATTTTCCAGTTTACACTGTTTAGAATTTATCTTGGATATCTTGTTAAGTCAAATTAATGGCTAGTCAACCATATTGTAAATGGGTATGGATAATTCAATTTAAAGATCAAAGCTAAGTGGTTTGACTAACACCAGCTGATAGACAGGATTACCATGAACCCTAGTTGTTATCCTAAAATATGCACATTTCTCTCTTTAAATGTAATGATAATGCTTACCAAGCTAAATGAGTGAATTGGGAATCCACGGAACAAGCTATCACTTGTGTATTAACTTTTTTAAATTCATCATTTCTATCACTGAAAGCAAGAATTTCTGTAGGGCAAACAAAGGTGCTGAAATTAAAAGCAGAATATAATATAACAGTCATTCATATAAAGAGGATAAATTTAAAACACAAAGGTATCAAGTTTTCAATTGGGCAAAACATTCCCAGTTTTACTAGTCAAACCACATTGAACTTTTCACGAACTATAGAATGCTATGGAAATAAAGATTGTCACAAACTATAAGCTGCTATGGACCATCTCTAATGAATTTAATACGAATGTCATATCAATTGTTTTCATCAGTAATAGATAATCAAAACTCTGGTTATTTGTACAGGCAGTGAACTTACAAATCTAAAGGATAGAAGAAAAATACCACATATTTCCCCCTATAATCTGATAGTTTGATGTCTTTAAATTCACCATTAATCACTGCTGTTCCATTCCAATCTGGTGCCTGTTTCGAAACTGAAATATGATTTAAAAATAATGAATTAATTTGTGCTATGCATAGTGCTTTGCAGAATTTAATTATGTTAACCTATGTTAACCTATGGTCAGCTTTTATCCTATCTTTACAATATTCACACAACCGTGGCAATCATGTGTTTGGTCAAGGTATTCAAGTTGATATGCATAACTGTACAGTGCCATGGAGTTAAGGATGGCTCTTTAACACATACAATGCATATGGATTCGTATAGGAATCATAATGTTTAAAAAGACAGAATTAATAGAAGAGAAGGGTCGGAGTATTCGGACTATAAAATAATAATAACAATAATAGGCTGTAGTAACATACTTATAACTTGACTCCAATGAATCGCGTGTCCCGTCGTTCGTTTAGTTTCTTGTGGGAATACATGACCTGCGCTAAAGGAAGTGCAAGACTCATCAGATGCACTTGTTAACAAAATGCAAGTGAGAAAAAAGAAGAATACACTAAAGCAGCTTAGCAAGTCAGTCATTTTAACACGTTGAATTAGACCTAATTATCCGGTAGGAAAGATACATAAAATCAGAGGTAGATAAAGTCTGGACAAACTTGACTATTGAATTATCCAATGTAAAGCTTGAGCAGTAAATTTTCCACATTTTCGTAAATCGAGAACTCTCAAAATTTTGTGAAATTAAGGTTATCAACGTATTAGGTCTACAATAAATATGTTTTCATCTTAAAAATTAGCAAAGCATTTGAAAGTGATATGCTTAATGTGAGATTTGTGCAAACAAATAAACCAAGGGTTCGAAACTATCACTGTTTTGTACAGAGGCCATTTTTATTTCCTAGGTAGCCAATGTAAACAAAGGTGAAAGGTAAGCTCTTCAAATTGCGTACAGTCTATAATGAATTTATGGAAAAATAAAATAACATGACGCATAATTGCATAAAGGTCAGTGATCTGCAGTTTATACAGCGCCTTCATAATGAATTGTATGAATAATTCAAATGCCAATATTTTCATTTTCACATTTTCACACAAAATCAGAATGTAAAAACCTCTTCTAGTTCTTATCATTCTCCTCAAAATATAAGTGATATCGCTTGACCACTGATATTTGAATTGAATTTTCTCAGTTTCTATAAATTGGACGTATAAACTGTAAAATAAAACTAAGAGTCTAAAGGTGCGGGCACACGAGTGGTCTTGGTTGGAGATTTTTGTCGCCGATTGGAGTTTTGCGTAAAATCTTGCGCATGCTTCTGCAACAAGATTATCACGTCCCCGCCAGGATTTATAATATCAAACAAGTTCATTAATTTGATCGTCTGCAAGACAGACTGCATTATCCAATCAGATTAGTTTTCCTTTCATTTGCATGCTCTGCAAGTGATTAGCGACATAGTGGAAACTCTTGACAAGACTCTTGTTGGCAACCATACCATTTGTGTGCCTTTTGCCTAATAGAACATGGTGCAGAAAAGTAGAAACGTAAAACTCCATTCATTTCATTTCTAAGGCTAATATGAAAGATATGGTTCAATAGAAGGAAGGATCTAGTTCAGAAATTGTGATTGGGGCAATGTTTTTATGACATGAAGACTTGTATAGGGCAAGGCAGGGATGGGATGACCATTTCTTGCATAAGAATCTACATGGGCTAGTTTTAGAGTTTAGAGCAGTTCTTTACTGTACAAAATAAAACAAAAAAAACTCCTCCGAAACATAAAATGTATTTTAAATTATGGTTGCCATAACTCTATCCTTTGCCTAATTATTAAACTGTAGCTAGTATTGAACACAGTTACAGTGTGTAAGCCTATAAATTATAGGTTAAAACATTAAGAAAAGAAATTTGAATTAATTACAAAAATATAACATAAAACAATATAACAAATGAAAAAATCAATGAATTTTGATTTTTGTTTTAGACAACTGAAAGCGGGGAAAATGTGAACAATTTATTATTATTTTTTTCTAACCTGTTTTCATGAATGCGATCTGCAATTGTAACTACAACAGATTGAAATAATTACATATTGATTACTTGAGATTTCTGTAACCCTTTATATGAAGAGAGAACTGTTTTTGTCAGGGGTTTATATAACCTTATTTAACACAATAAGACAGTTTATAGAAAAATGCAAAAAGTCACCTTCAACAATGTTGTTATTGATAGGAAAACCTAGTTTTTTTTTTTACTAATTGATGTTGAATAAGTAGACTTTGAATTTTATGAATTTTATGAATGCAAAACTGATTGTGGACTGTGAAAACTGACAGGCATAATATACGAGAGAGAGAGAAATTATATTAAATGGTTACCGTACTTGTTTGTATAATTGCATGTTTTGTGAAGAGATTAGTTTATAACCCTTTTTCTTGTGTATTAAAAGTTTTAGATTTATTCATATGAAGGATATTTGCAAGATAATTTTCACTTTAATTTCCAATGTGCAAAAGATCCTAAAAAGACATAGCCTGCAGCACAGAGAATATTGTTTTGTCTGAATTATTTAGATGAATTTTTCACGTAAAGTTTTGACTTGCAAGTGTGAAATATTGACAGAATCTTTATGAATAGGCTAGGGGTGTCAAAATAAATGCATCAAAAATGACTTGGGCTTTATTATCACCATACAATTAAGAAAAAAGACCATAAATAGTTCTCTGTTTGTGCTCATAGGTACCAGTAACTGAAATTGATTTAAGTTTTAATTTGGATGTATGATTAAAACACCAGCTTAAAATTACAATTATCTTTTTTATTCAAGATAAGTAATAATCATATGAAAAATTGTCCATGTGTTAACAATTTTGTAGGTTTGAAAAAATAAGTGTATTTTTGGGGAGTTTCTTTTTGCCCTTCAAATGACATTAAAGAGTGATGCATTTATATTCTATAAGCTTACTTGTATTTCATTGCAATGAATACAATATTGTGAAAGTTTTTTTTTAATATTAAAATTGAAGACTGTATTGTCATTAAAACATTTCCATGTTTCTATTGAATATTTGATAAGTAAATATAAGTACTCTTTGTTTTTATTGTCATGGAAATTATTAAGTGTAATAAAATAAATCAAGGATAAAAAATCAATATCAAATCTTTTGTGTTTGTAAATCAATGACCTACTTGTACCTAAATATTTTATGTCAAATAAAATAGAAAATCAGCTAATTTAAAAATGAAAAAAAAAAAAAAATAAGGAGTCACTGAACTAAATGATAAGTAGTTTGGAGATTTGGGTGGTTGAAAGGTAACAAGTTAAGGTACTATCCAACAGAAGGCACTGGCAAAGGGTTAAAGCAATGTTCACGAATGTTAAGGTTAATATGTTAAAATGAAAATTTGTACTCATAGTCCAAAGACCTAAGGTTATTAATAAAAATTAAGAATGTTGACCTTTCGGTAACACCTTATGCCGCTGTTCAGCTGGGTTTGCCAAGTCTGCAATGCTGTTAGATAAACCTACTATTGGGATAAGTATTCAGGAGTACAATAAGTCATTGAAGATTTTTAAACTTTCACTTTCTGATTGAAAGGATTAATTTTGATAAAAGTAGGTGTGCCAAACAGAACTATAGTAATTATTCACAAAAAACTTAACCAAGATAAGATTAATCTGATTTATTAAAATTTTAAGTCAATATTAGTGTTGAACATTAAAAATAATGATGATCTTTTAACGCTCATTATTCTTTTGAAAATGGATGTTTCTTAAATAAAGAAAATGCTGAACAATCTAGTGCCATCATAGAGTTAAATCTTCCTTTTTACGATATATGAACAAGAAAGATTGGATTGAGAAAGAGTGTCTTTCATGTCTTAATTTGTTATGAGTTGCAGAAGTGAAATTATTGAGAAATGATGTGGAATCAATATTTATTGATCTACCGGTACTGTCTAATAGTTAGCATTGAAGTAGAACTTACTAGATTTCTCTTGTTAATGTTAGGATTAAGCGTACAGATAACAATCTGTCTTGCTATTATATGTAGGCTAAGTTGATAGATATTTATCGACTATCTGAACACTTAATGACTCTCAATGTTGCTTTGTTCTACAACTTCTTTATGAAAACAAGTTTTCCATCACTATGGTAGCAATGTGACGTTTAAGATTGACAAATAGGTTATGGATGTGTTATAAACTGTTTGTTTTTCGTTACCAATATAAAATTTTTGTTTGAGTTTGTGTGTGTTTTAGTTCTCTACAGTGCCCTTACAAGTGGAAATACATGACAAATTGAATAGTATTTTCAAGGTTTAACTGGTTTTGTTTATTTTCTTTTTTTGACAAAGATTTAACAATCAATCATACTATTGAATAATGTCAACAGTCGAGTTAATGAACTGATCATACTTCTTCTGATTTAGCTAGGGATATTGTGTAGCACGTCAATTTATAGGAAATACATTTTTTAAGAAATTGGTTAAGTAGATTTGTTTGACAGAAATGCTGAACTGTAAAATTTATATTGTATTTTGGTCAAATCTTATAAAGATTATTAGTAGTTAGATTTTTAGTACAGTTTACTAATTTTTAAAATCCAATTTTTAGTTTCCTATGAATTTGAAATAGATGTTTCCTTTTAGCTAATTAATGAGAGTTTAGACATACTTAATCACAGAGTGGTATCTGGTGCTCCGAAGGCACATGGCACTTACTTACTTATTGTGTTGGAGCTCAATGTTGTATATAAGACAATCTGAGAGCCATCTTTAGATTAACTTTAGAAGTAACTCAGTTTTATCATTGTTTTTTAGTTGTAAGAAATGACTGAAGTACATGGTCCAAATATTACTCCGCCTGCTACAAATGTGTCAAAACTAGAAGATGATGATGATGATTTTGAAAAACAGTTAGCCTCATTTATTGAAGATGAAGAAAAGAAAGATAAGGTAGATATACATTTTATTATTTTTTTGGTTCACTATATTCACAGAACTCAGGTCTCAATAGATTAGAGCTCCAATTCAAATGTACATGAAATGAATGAGCTGGTGATCTGCAAAAATACGTTTACATTCAGGCAAACAACTTTAAGAGATTCTAAAAGTTCTGACTTAATGGAGCTGACCTTGCACCAACGCCATTTTCATTAGCACACTGGTACAAACAATTAGGACGTAAAACTTAATTCATTTTATTTCATTTCATTTTTTGACCTTGCACAAGATTCCTTGCAGTATATCTATATAATAAGTTATAGATATGATCTTTTTGGACCCCAAAAAAGGATGCAAAGTTGCAAAACACAGTTGCAGAGTGGCATCAGGAGGAGTAACATGCTTGCTTGCGACAGACCCATGTCACTAGACTTTTTCTAGTGTCCAGAGATTAAAGATAACAGGTTGAAGGTTGGCTCTACAGACAGAAAGTCATCAGACTATTAAATTATAATAAATATATAAAATAAACAATAACAGTAAATAAAAACACAATGAATAATGTGTGGTTTTGTGAGATCAAGCAAACCACCCCACTCTGAGATTCTTTAGATTTTATTGCTATATACCTGACATTCAGGAAATTGAGGTCAAAGAGAAATGTTTGAAAGGTTGTGATGCCTCAAGGGTATTTTTTACTTTCTATTTATTGATTAAATCATTTAGTATCATTGATTAGGTCTTTTAAAGAATAATTAATTCATTGAAATCATCAAACACACTTTAATGAAACTGTATGACAAGGTGATAGGTTTAAATTTTATTGCTTATTTAAATGAAAACAAAAACTTTAAAAAAGAAGCTTTTGAAGACCAATATTAAGCTAAAATCAAAATGAAATTTTTTACTTGTTTTGGTATGAAAATTACTAATTTTTCTTTTAATACTTGAATTAAGTTCACATTTCATATTTGATTTTCGAAAAGACAAAACAACAAATACAGCTATATAGTGGTTGTTTAGCTCAGCCCAATTTGGTCAAATTGTGAAATTGGTAGTATTCATGCTTGATGTAACAACCTTGGAAGATGGTTGCTGTGGTTACCATTCCTACCGTTCAATGACTATTTTTGTCTCTTAGGATAAAGAAGAAAGAGGGGAGATAATAATCAAGAAAGAGAAAGGTGAAGAGGATAAATTAGAAAAGGAACAAGCAGGAGATAAAGATGATGATTATACCTTTACTAATGATCAACGACGAGCCATGGACGAATTATTGGCACAAAGAGAAGAAGATGACTTTATTGGAGGTATTTAGACTAGTACCTGTGAAATGAGTTTCAATATAAGTCTCTTTTTTTTTAAATTAATAAAGTAACCATATTCTCTAAAATGTCAGTTATGGACGTATCCACAACATTTATTTACATATTTGGCAACTCTTATCATTGCAGTAAAGCTCAATCTACCTCAGTAATAATTAGAGTGAATCCTTGTGTCATGGCTAGCCTCTTTATATTGATGTTTTACTTCTGGGTTGTCATTTAATCCTAATATTGCAACATGTATAGTCCATAGTTTATTTCTCCGACTGCCATTGGACACTTTCGTGCTGAAAGTACATGTATAACTGATTCTGCCATTTTGTTTTTGTAGAAGAAGAACCACCAGAATATAATGTCAAGGAAAGATTATTACAGTTAAATGCTGAATTAGCGAATGATCCCACCCCTCTAGATAGTGATTCTAGAGATGTCCGTATCAAATTCAAAGACAATTTAGTAGATTTAGTGGCACCCCCACCTGATTTTAGTGATGAGGAAGCAGAACCTACTGTGTCTCTTAAAAGTCTCCAAAAACATAAGGAAAACAGTGATAATAAACTGAACAGTTCTAACAATACTAACAGTCCTAGAAATAAAAAGTGTGTCGTGGAAAGAGAAGGGAAATTTGAAGTGCTATCAGCTGATGAAATGACGCCCATCGAAAGAGAGTTATACATACACGAAGACACAGAAAATACACCCCCAAATAAAAATACTAGAATCAAACAAACCAATAGAAACAATTCAAATACTGCAAATCAAACAAAACAACCGACACCTCCTTCTAAACCTCGTCCAGCAACTGCTACCATCAACAGCCCTCGACGTAATGTCCGTCCTAGTTCATCAAAACCTCGTCCAAAATCTGCGTCTGTGACACTTAATAACAGTTCAGGGTTAGAGAACTTTGATTATCATTCACCTTATGCCTTACCTGATGATGTCAAAAATCAATTTAAACAGCGAGCCAAATATCTAGAAGAAAAAAAGCGACAAGAAGAACAAGAAAGAAAAGAGCATGAACGAGAAAAAGCTGAAACTGCAGAAAGTATGTTCCAAGCATGGTTAGAAAAGAAAAAAGAAGAACAAAGGCAGAAAAGAAAAGAAGAACATGAAAAGAAGAAGAATGAAGAGAAGGAAGATAAGGTATGTAAGAACTACGTATGATTGTGTTAGTAAAAAACATTATAGCGTCTGTATTGTCCAGGTAATAGCCTGGTTAAAATAAGGGTACTTCTTGGTAAAGGACAAGTTTGTGATCTTCTTGTATCTCCCACTTTCAGTTTTCTGTTGTGTTTAGCTGGATTGTTTTGAATTACCAGATGGCTTAGTTCCAAATACCAGTATTCTTTGAGTTCTTGAAAAGAAAGAAGTCTGGCCTACAACCTTTCTACCATTTTCAAAAAATACTTTACCAATGGGTTATGTGCTTGATCATTGGAGCATTTAAGGAATCGCTTAACAACAGTCTAAAAGAAAATCTAACTATAAATCACCATCATGAATTTCCTTCCATTCAAGATTTACTTAATATGCTTCTGAAACATGGGAAGTTTAACCAACACTCAGTCAAATCTGCAGCTTCAATAACATCAATAAGCAAATACAGAGAATGATAATTACAAACAGTACCACAAAGGACTTCCATATTCAATCCTTTAACTTTACCAAAACCTCTATTTAAATATTGTGGCATGATCTTAGCATGTCAATACAAGAGTATCACCCAGCTTGTTGCAAGGTTGAATATCTCGGTTTAAAGTCACTGCATGTAGTCAAAGTAGAATTAAAATTAGTCAATCAAGTCTCATAAAAACGTAGAAAGATCATCCCTGCAACCTTTTCCTAGACTTATCATACATAGTTCTTCAACTAGTACCTATGTCTTTGAATTCATTACCTTATTTCTCTTAATAAACCTGGGATCAATAATTAACCATATTTTGACTGAGTGATCCTATGTTTTGATATTTCAAAATATACCCTTGTCCTTGCACTGTCACTAGTAATTATATTAATTTATTATGTATGCAAGCATGAAATATTTTTTATATCATAGAGTAATAATGGAGAGAAGGTCAATAATTCAGATTCAGATTGGTCTGAAATAAGCGATCAGGTAATTTCATTATATGATCAATGTACTGACCAGTCCTGTCATTTCCTATTATAGTTTTTAATTTGCACTAATTCTATCTTGGTGATTGGTCCTCATTTCTTTCTATCTTTCATTTGTCCCAATTTCTTTTTATGAAAATTTATTGTTCACTCAATATGCATAAACCTATGGTGTAGAAGCGTAAATCATTAGTTTTCTTGAATGCTTTAAATTGTTTTATTCTGGTTTCACATTCTCATATCTGACACACTGAAAATCTGCACATATTCTTCAGTTAGTAATGAATTTTAGGATCACAAATTAATGGATATAGTTGTTAACCTGTTGAGCTTGGAGTTCTGGTGGTCCCTGTTAATTTCGAATGGTTTGAAACTTGGAACTGTTCCCTACTGTCAGTAATGAAAGTCAGAGGGGCTTCAACAAGTTGACTAATTTTTAGATATGAAAATTATGTAGTAGGCATAATATTCATTGGTTGACAGCATGGAATTGAAAACAACATTCATATAAATTTAGAGCACAATAACAGATTAGGCAATTAGTAGAATTAGGTGATAAGTGATTTGTACCCATCTTATTCTCATTTGATACTAGTTTATTTCTTATGTCTTCTCTTTATAGACACCTATCACTTTCACACCAGAATGTTTGTTGTTAATAAAAGAAAGTTATGGCAATAGTTTATTCCTCTGATTTGTATAACAAACTGAACTTAAAAACAATCAAAGAGCCTCAAAACCAAAAAAACTATAATGAAAAAGGATTTGGCTTTATTTTCTGAAACAAATAAAGGATTATATTTAATAAAAGTAGATTGAAAACACCATGAAAATATAAGTCATTGAAGACTGGTTTTTCAAGTTTTATAAAATCAATAAGCTAACATATTGATATTTATGTGAAGTTTTATAGCGTGATTATTTTCCCAATGAGTTTTATTGCAAGATTAATTCTTTGTGATCACATGTAACAAAGTCAATATGTAATAAGTCAATATAAAATAGAAGTCAATAGATATCGTAATAAAACAGATATTATTAACTTTTATTACATTTAAATTAACTTTTCCTATTCATGGAAAACAAGGAACTTCCAACCTTTGATTATGTTTCCTTTGAAGAATTAATTTTCATTGATTTTGATTTTGGAATAGGTTGCTTATTAAATTTAAAATGTGCATTTGGAAATCATTCTAAATGACAAAATTGTAATGTTACACATGCCACGATGATAATCAGCCAATCCATTGATTTGTTCAATGAAATATTCAATATAACCTTATTTCAATATGAAACATTGACTTGTATTGCCACCTCATATTTTAAAGTATTTTTGATAGTTTAGCATCTTTTGACAATTTCGTAAAATTACCATAGAACACAAGATAAAGAAAAATATTGTCTGATCATAGATGACAGTGACATATCTACATGTCCATGATATTTTTTTTCTATTGAGAATTGTCCTTTGTAAAATAATATTTCAAATTAAATATATCCTTCTAATTCATCAACCTCAGCTCATCTTGATATCATGTAGATTTTTGATTCTTTGATAACTGATTTGCTCAGAGCACCTTGATTTTTAGTACCTTTTAGATAATTCATAGATTTGATATTTTTCAGGCAAAAGAAAATGAAGCAATATTTAACCAATGGATGAAACATAAACAAAGTCAGCAGAAGAAAGAAAAGTTATTAAAACGAAGACAACAACAAGAAATGAAAGAAGGCTTTGTTGTTCACAACAGAGAAGATTGTGAGAAAAATTTTAGAAGGTAAATTTCTTTTAGATTCTTAGTTCATTAGATTTTCTCTGGGAATTTTATGGGTTTCTTGTTTTAACAAGACCTTGGACAATTTGAATATGGGTACGATTTGAGTTACGCCATTGATATATCAAAAGTATGTTTGATAGTGACTTGTCTATGCAAAATAGGCCTCTCATTTTGTCAGAATATTATCAAATTTGGTATGTAGGTATATCTCAATCAAGTTTGAATTTAGGAAGGATTTGACAAATATTTTTAGTTACGTGCCTTTGATATACCAAAAATACATTTAAATATTTAAAAGGAGCTTGTGAATGCGATAGAGGAGTAGAAAATTTTGGGGTAAATCAACAAATGGGTGCCTGTTTTGTGAAACACATAATAATTGTCTAAAAGACCATCAATCAATCACAGTCATATAAATATGTTGATTATAACTATATATATAACTATAAATATATCATTGTTTATCTTTTATTTTCTGATAATCCAGAAAAATTGCTGGGATTCATCTACAATTGGTTCATTCCATATAATTTCAGGTGGTTACGGAGAAAAAATGCTGAAATCAGACGAAAGAAAAATGCTGAAAGACAGAAAATGCGTTATCTTAGATTAGCTTCACGTAAATCTCGGAAATCGCAAGCTTTAGCTAGGGCCATCAATCAATCACAGTCATATAAATATGTTGATTATAACTATTAATATATCATTGTTTATCTTTTATTTTCTGATAATCCAGAAAAATTGCTGGGATTCATCTACAATTGGTTCAAAATCATCAAATTTCAGTGAAAACTGGTTTTGAATGCTGCCATATTAATTCAGACTATATATTTGCATTTTGATTGATTTAACTGCTTGTTCCACTAATTTGTCTTCATCAAATTTTTAGCATCTGCATTTTCGTCTATGATCAAGGCAATAACACAATGGTACACAAAATTTTCAGAACATTCTCTTATTTTTAAGAGGCAATGATTCAATTTTTGTTATGTATATATCAACACAATTTCTGAAGCTAATTTTGGAGGATGTTACCAGAATGTGATGGCCAGAACTGAGCTGTCAAATTAGAACTGGGTTATACATGGTTGTCAAGGTGTGAAAAGTGTTACCCCTGGTTACCAGGATTAGAACTGAGTCATATTTGAGGTGTTTTTGTGGGCTGATTCGATTAGGTAGTACGATTTGGTGCAATTTAGTACGATTTGGTGCAATTTGGTTTAGATTAGCAGTGGTCCACAAATGCGAAATTCAAATTGGCGATTTAGCAATATGGCTGCCTCTGCTGACAACCAATGAAAGACAGCTATTTTGATTACATTAGCAACATCCACATGCCGCCATCTTGGAAAAGCCTAATCAAATCGCCTAACCACCATGTGGAACGATTAGGACGTTTAGGTAAACTGTCTCACAAATGTACCGATTGGTCTAATCGTTCTGGCTCACAAACGCACAAAATAGCTAATCTACCTAATCAAATCGACCCACAAAAACGCCAATGGTTGTGAGTGTTTAAATCGGGTCATACTGAATTACCAGGGTGTGAACTGGGTCATATTTGGTTGTGACATGGTTGGAACTGGATCATACTGGATTGCCAGGGTTAGAACCTGATCATACTGGATTGCCAGGGTTAGAACTGGATCATACTGGATTGTCAAGGGTTAGAACTTGACCATACTGGATTTCCAGTGTTATAACTTGATCATACTGGATTGTCAAGGGTTAGAACTTGGTCATACTGGATATTCAGGGCTAGAACTTGTTTGTCATGTTAGAACTGGGTCATACTGGTTTACCAGGGTCATTCCAAATGTCAGGGGTTTAAAAATTTTGGGTTCTAACATCATTTATCACACAATATTTAAGGCTGATACACAGGTGATTTATTAAATGAATTTTCAACCCGTCCAATATGTTGTCTGTGATAATATTAATATATTTATTTATTTTTATGTACTGTTCTATTTATTGTATGATACTTGTACATTCCAAATCTGTGAATTAATCAACATCAATGTTAAATGCATTTTACACTATTTTATGCTTCTTTATGTTGATGTCATATATTACCTTTTAATACACTTCTCTTCATTTTGCAGTTAGAAATTAAACTGTATTTTCAGACATGATTTAAGAAATTAAACTGTATTTTCAGACATTATTTTCAGACATGATTTAAGAAATTAAACTGTATTTTCAGACATGATTTAAGAAATTAAACTGTATTTTCAGACATGATTTAAGAAATTAAACTTTTTTTTCAGACATGATTTAAGAAATTATACTGTATTTTCAGACATGATTTAAGCCCTATAACTAAATCCTATAAAGGCAATATATCTGTAGATCGTCATATACAAGTGTCTGATTTTTATGAACATTTGAAGTTCTCTTACAATGTAAATCAGATGTAATATATCAGGAATTAACATAATCCAGACACAAGATCTAATTTTCTATGTTATATATAATAAATTCTATTTTACTATGTATTCTCTGTGCTATTTCTGCTGGTTTTCATCTGTAATGTCTTATTGTTGCCATATTGGGTCATATTATAAAAGTACATGGGAAATTTAGATGTGGATATAAAATGGTATCTGTCATTTCATTTTGTGAAGACTAATACTCATTAGCTTGACTAACAAAATTTCATTTTGTGAGACCATGGTTTGGTTGGTCGCAGGTATGGTAGACCTATCCCTTTATAAGGTGGTTAATTTCCAATATTTAGAATACAAGCATACTTGCAAAGAAGAAGATAGAAGAACATACGCCTACTACCAGCTGTCAGAAATGATAGCAAAGTCTTTGGTGACTTAATAATGAATTTTTAAAGATCAAAATAAACCCAAAATCTGTTACATGAAATTATCATTGAAATTCAAACATGAACAAGGTCTCATCGACGTACACACAAGGGCATTTTACCTCTGAAACCGTTCATCAGATTAAAACCGGTTTCGAACATCAATACATACATGCATACCAAGTATCATTAAGATCGGTTAAAACCTCTAGCCTTTATCATGCCTAAAAGCCAAATTTGACACGTTTATATTAGGTCAAGGGCAATAACACCGATCATCCAATTGATACCAATTTCAAACTTGACTGAGATCTCATCAATATATATTATATATTTCCTAAGTCAAGGGCAATAACTCTGAAACCGTTCATCCGATTATTACCAATTTCAAACATGACAGATCTTATCAATATATATATATGCATACCAAGTTTCATTCAGATCAGGTAAAAACAGCAATATACATCCACATTTCCATGTGGGCATATAATAAAATTGCTGCACATGTTCATAGACATCATAAACATTTTGTAAGTGGTCTGAAAGGCAAAAGTTGACCTGTACAGATATTTTTCTACAGGTCACCTTCCAAGATATTTATCAAACTAAAGCAAATTTTCATGTACATGGGAGAAATATGCTTCCAGTTGAAAAACATCTGTACAAGACATTTTCTAAGACATATCAGCAGGATGGTTCTAAATACAAAAGAAAAAAACCAAGATACTTTAATTTATATCTTCTCATCAGGAGAACAAAATATTCCATTTTTTGTGAATATTTAACAATGACTATGTTACATCTTTATAATACAAATCATACAAATAAGATCAGGTCTGTACACAAGATGGCCCAGTTGTCATTGGGATTGTTCCAGGGTGGTTTAGGTGACTATTAAGATCACTGTTTTTAAACACTGAAAATGTAGCTCAAAGGTTGTGGCTCTGATTAGAGGACATGTTGTGGCTCTGATTAGAGGACATTTACACTATGGATAAATTCTGGAATCACACAACTTAAGACATGCAATCAGAATCAATGATTTGAAAATGTATTTTCCTATCAGCATTCCTGTGCTTAATTTTTAAATATTTTTTCCCCAATATTTGAAAATCTTACAGTCACATGCTAATTTGTTCTTTGATTGTAGTCGTTGCCCATTGATAAAATTATTTTGACATATCAAAGAAACTATGTTTACAGGAAGGACATAGGTTTCATTCAGACTTGGAAGAAGATAGCCCAATACCACTTTTTAAACAAATCAGCACAAAAACATATACAGGAATTTTGACAACCACATTAAGTTATGCCCAAACAGCAGGAGTTGATGTTAATTTTACATCATAGCAGACTTTATACATAGGTGTTTAAATCTCTTTATATCCAACATGTATAGAATTCCTCCATATAAAATTTTAACACAGCAAACTCTTAATGTTACACTCAAAGACTTGAATGTAAATGATGCTTGAATTATAATCAACAGTTTGTCAACAAGTAAGGCTGAAATAGCAATCATGGCTAAAACTTCCATCACCCATTTCCTTCAAAGCATATTCACACTGTTTTATACATATATAAATCATGCAAATTATTTCATTATCAGTACATCCAATCTAAAATAATACATCCCATTCAAACCAACTTTCATGTTTATGAATCTCATTTGACATTCTCCCTCTCGCAAGACCTCTGCACTTTTTGTTATATCACAGATCTTTAAAACAGTATGATAGATCATGTTTTAAGTCACCAGGTCAACTTTTCTTGAGAGGGTAAAGGTCTTTTAATCTGAGCACTAGATTACTGATATCTTCTCTTTTATTGGCCACTACTTCATGGAGAAACCAGTTATCTAAACCTTTCATAGGACAACTATAATCCATAATTGGGCACTGAAAAAACAATTTATGAAAATTAAATAAAGATTAACAACATCGGTTAAAATGGATCCTACAAGGGACATCTCATAATGTTCCAAGGTAATTACTTGCTTTTATTTAAAAGAAAAAAAGTTTTGGTAAGACAAATAATAAGATTCCTTTTTTTTTTTCATACAGTTAATTTTTTTGAAACTATTTCAAATTAAGCACTACTGTTCAGTTAAACTTGCTAATGCTAATTTCTTGACAAGTTTCAAAGAAATCTCTGAATGAAAATATCTGAAATGTTCCAGTATGTGTATATAGCAGCTATAACAGTTAACAATCACAAACCCAGAGTGCCAGTAGATGATCAAAAGTGATGAATTAACTGAACTTAAACCCAGAATCCGTATAAAATACAATTGATGAACGGGTTAAAAAATAAAATAAACCTACCTCAAAGAAACTTTCAACATATTGTAAAACATAGATACCACAGTCACTAAAATTATTTTGTTGGGGTATTTTAGGTGAGATACCTCGAATATCTTTAAAATTTCTTTCTGTACCTTTCTTTATATCCCATTCTACTTGTAAATATCTAGAAAATATAAAGATATATTATCAATCATTGAATTGTTCAAAATCAATTTTTTTACTACATACTTATTATTTTGATTGTGCTATTTGTTTACAATTTTGCTTGGGTTGTTTGTTTACAAGTTTGCAAACTTTTAACACTTTGCTACTAATTTACCTTTTTGCTTGGACCAAATGTTTTCTATTTTATTCACCATTAACCAACTATTAAATGTGAACTTACTCTTTTAATATTCTACAAACAGCAGATCTTGAAGGTCCAGCAAGTGAATCAAATACTAGTATACAGGGTCTAAACATAGAAATGATTCTATATAATGATGATAATTTTCAGACTTGTATTCGTTGATAAAGAGAATGTAAAATCCAATGACATGAATAAAACATACTGGCTCTAATTACTATAAGGTGACAATGAAAATTGATGCACAAACATATTTTATATCATTATATAGCAGCTTTTATCTCAGTATCTCACTCAAGCAAAACTTTACTTTTTTTAAACATTTTACGGCTTACGAGTTATGAATTTTCATCATAAAATTTTTTGAAAAAATGAAAAGTATTTCCGAAATATAGACTAATCACTGAATTAAACAACTATAGAAAACAATGACTTACTGTTTTTTACCAAGACAGTATTCTCTGTTATCTGATTCTTCAATACATTTCTCTGGATCTAACGGTATCCCAGTTATAACCTGAAATTATAAACACAAATACTTTACAACAAACATTGATTACAATAATAATAATAATAATTTATTTATTTAAGTGTCACCGTCCATATATACAGAGAATAACAACAATAAAATAATTACAGCATTATAAAATGGACGCCAGCCAGCTTCGACTTATGAGACACCTTAGAATTATATCATAAAACTACATTCAATGAGACAGGTAAAACACAAATATACAAGTAAAATAAACATTATGATAAATAAAAAGGCTCAGGGTATCACAGTCTGTTTTCTACGTTCAAACATTTTAAAAATACATGCGGCAAAATATGGTAAAATTCGTTCGTTTGTCATTAAAAAACACAATTTATTTACATTATTATAAAATAAAAAATCTGCATTAATAAAACAGGCTTCGGTACATAAAACATTTCTTATATCAGTGTATAATTTACAGTTAAAAATAAAATGCTCCTCATTTTCAATTTCCCCATTATCACATAAAAGACACTTCCTTAAGCAGAGAGGTTCGGGGGGTCTAACAAATCTTCCAGTTTCAATTCTCAAAGGGAGTGAACCCGCTCTAAGTTTGGACAACACGCGTCTGTGAGCTCTATTTTTAATAATTTTGACATACGGTTCTGTTCCGAATTCAGTTTTGTACATGACCGGAGTTTGTTTCCATTAACATGTGTGCGGTCATTCCATACATCCCTTGACCACTGACCCACTTCCCTTTCCCATAGACTATCCCACACATCATCAATACATACAGTGTCACTTTGATCATTTAATACATGTAGTTCTCGACCGATACTTAATACTCGGTGATCCCAGGAAGACTTACGTCTACTGGCCCATTTATGTACAGTTTTACAAAGAATATTATCGTTGAGTTTAATTAACAGCTGATTAATTTACTATAATAATGATAATATCTGGTGGGATAAATGATGACATATTTTGATATTTGTTGTATTTGATAAAGAAAATAGTAAAAAAACTGACATATTGATACAATCAGCTCTTTTTACTACTTCCTAACTATTCGATATACCTCGACAAATAACAATAAGAATCTAAAATCTAGGGTACCTTAGATCTAGTAAGAGGAGGAGTTGGAACACGAGGAGCTGGTTCTGTAGCTTCTTCTTTTTCCACAGCTTGATCTTTATCTTCTCCTGTTTCTTCACCTTCTTCTTTTGATTCCTACAAAGAGAGGTCAATATTGAAAGACATTTATTTCTATTGGGTACATATCTTATTCCATCCATTGCTTTCAAAATCAATCATGAAATCAGGATTTCAGTGTTTCACAAAGAAAATATACATTTCTCAAAATCCAGTATTCGCTCCATTAGAAATAATTTATTTCCAAGTTGAACTTGTACAAGTTTGAGTATTTTTAGGCAAACAGAAGTCTCAGAGGAGTTAAAAGACCGGTGACTATCTCATAATTTCAATTTACCTGTGTAGTTGTTGTAGGGGTATCTTGACTAGTATTATCAGTATTATCGTCTGCATGTGTAGAAGTAGGAGACATTGAGGAGGCAGCAGCTGCTTTATGAGATGCTGGTACAGATTCAGGTGTTTTTAATGGCACTGGTAAGAATGGACAGAATTGAGGCTCTTCTAACCCAGGAAAACAAATAATGGCCAGGAACCAATGAGAACTGAAAGAAAACATACATGTATTTCAATTATTTTCAAACCTAATTCTCACTAAATTGCCATCCTTTTTAAGATTGTCACTGTTGTTTATCTATCACAACCTGTGAAAATATCCCCATATATCTAACAACTCTTTCCATACTATCATTTCTGACCTGTATGAAAATCGTAAAAAGAAAACTGAACCTTGTAAGCCCAGATTAAAGAATTACCACTTCTGTTCAACCCACAGCTGTTGATTTGACTCTATTTGACCAACAGGACGTCCGAATGACCACAGATCTATATCAAGTCAATCTAAGATGTTGTGTATTGTTTAATGACTTTCATATCTATATATAATAATATATGATGCTTAAAGAAAATCCTTTAACTTACTGTTCATTAATTGGTACAACAATAAAATCTTTTTCAAATATATCTACATGTCTTGTCCATGTTTTAACAAGTGAATGCCGTTTTATATGTGGTCTGAAATACACAGGTAAAATAAAATAAAACAAAGCAACATTTTAGAAACACTGCAATTGGAGAGATTAAACATGCAGCATGAACTTTTAAACCACGAATGCAAATTACATCTTCTATTGATGAAAAAGTCTATATGAGATCTTTATACACCTTTTAACAGTTAGAAAACAGTCCTTTCTCAAAAATGTGTCAATAAACTTTATTTAATAGTATTATTCATAGCGTAATCAATTTCAAGAACTGCAAAAAAATATTTTAACAGATTACTCACTGTTTATTTCGATCAGCTGTGGATTCAGCTGTCTTTGGAATTTTTTGTGTTAATCTTTTATAGAAGAATGAACTAAATATATGTGTTCTTTCTCTATCTTTTTCACTCAACTTCTCCAACAATAAATATCTAAGTGATAAAATAAATTGAATTAAGGACAGTTAACATTTCTATAATAACAGGAATCACCAATAAATAATGGAAAATTGGAATGATGCTGATAGCAGCCAAGAATGGCCAGTCACAACATAAAAAAGCTAGAAAAACTTCTGAACAATCCCTTAAAAATGTTTCACACAGACTTGATTGAGACATTATTAGTAATAAATTCTAATACCGTTTGTAAAAAAAAAATTCACTGAACCTACTTTAAATAGAAATCTATAATAACATCATTGAGAAATTCCCCTTCATTTAAACAATACAGATCTTCATTTGTTATAGTTAATGCAAATTTAGTTGGTGGTGGTGGATATGTCAATAATCTACAATATTATATACTTTTCATTAGTACTTTACTTAGTCGAACAATTAGCTACCTCAAGTTTAAATGTCTCATTATACTGATATGTTATAAGAAAAGGACAATGGCACACATTGCACAATAAAGTTAATTCTGGCAGGTCAATTGATACAGGGGATATTTTAATGTGCATGTCTTGCAAGCCTGTATCACTTTTTGGAAAACTACTATAAAAGTATATGGATGGTAAAAATAACAAAAATCTTACTTTTCTATAGGACCTGAGAAAGTGATTCTTGGAGGAGTGGGTGATCTCTCTTTATAATCACCCTGATCATTATTCTCATTCTCATCTGGATTATAATCTTCTTCCCGATCATCATCATCAGCACGATATCTCTGATGCCTTTGATCTGATAGAGGACGACTGGGTCCTGGTGAATTAACAGCTTTACTAACAAATGTCCTCTTCATACCAACTTGTAGCTGCATAGCTGGCGTTAGTGGTGTAGTCTTTAATAACAAGTCATTAGCTTCTTCATGAGATAGATCAATGTAGAAGTCGGGACCAGATTGGCTTATCATACGGTATTGATTTAAATATTGTTTAAGTGCAGTTGTATCATCTAATCCATCTAATATGATCACAACATACTTCTTTTTACAACCTACAATTATATATTTTTAACATTTATATAACCTACAATCATATATTTCATAATCTATAATTACACATTTTTACAATCTTCAAATATACATAATGCAACAGTATAGGAACTGTCCTTCAAACAGCAGATCTGCAAGTATCAGCCACCATATATCATAGATACTGAATAAATACTCAACTATATCACAAGTGAACATGTATTATTGACTTACTATAATCTTCTGGATCAAAATAAGTATCATCAGAATCAGTCATTTTTAGTCGTTCCCTCAATCTAGTGCCACAGAGTCGTGTTAAGGTAAAAAACATCACAAATACTGGAGGATTTAAATGACCTTGACATTGTATAATGTCATCTGCTGGAATGTCAAAGGTTATTTTCTCACTTCCTTTCCTTTCACCTTAAAAAGAAAAGTCATTTAATACTGTAAGCACAGTACTAGCCACAAAGTTTTGTATCTCTGCCATCAGCCATTACCAAGCCACGATGTCATCTCAAGTTAATATCACAAATTTCAGCCTTTATAGCGTGGATTTAGGTGTATCATCATTATAATAATTACAGTCAAGTAACCTAATTTCGTGCTAACCTATTTTTCGTGCATCTCCGGAAATAATTTACATGTGCGACCTCGCGTGACCTCTACATTTGCTTGTTTTGATAAAAATGGGTTATCTGTACAATATCAGCTAGCAGATTGAGTCAAGTAGTAAAATGTATTAATGTTACTTTGACAAATACAAAATGGTGGATTTCAGTTATTACCAAATACAAATTTTTATCGGGCGAATTTCGTTATAATCCCAAGCTCTAATCGGAATTCCTTGAGTCGTCTGCTAGAAAGAAGTCCAATTAACGAAGTAATATGATAAACTAGAGGATTCTGTGTCAGCAGAAAAATTGTATGGAACACAATTTGGGCCATATTCTTATGTTGTTTCAATTTTGACGAAATTCTGTGTTGAATCCTCATATGCACGAAAATAGGTTTTACCAATGTATGATAACATATTTTTTTTTAGGCTAATTATATATTAAATAGAGCAAGCAAATGATTTCTACAAGTAGTAAAATGTATTAATGTATACTTTGACAAATACAAAATGGCGGATTTCAGTTATTACCAAATACAAATTTTTTATCGGGCGAATTTCGTTATAATCCCAAGCTCTAATCGGAATTCCATGAGTCGTCTGCTAGAATGAAGTCCAATAAACGAAGTAATATGATAAACTAGAGGATTCCGTGTCAGCAGAAAAATTGTATGGAACACAATTTGGGCCATATTCTTATGTTGTTTCAATTTTGACGAAATTCTGTGTTGAATCCTTATATGCACGAAAATAGGTTTTACCACTGTATGATAACATATTTTTTTTTAGGCTAATTATATATTAAATAGAGCAAGCAAATGATTTTTACAGGTCTTTTAAGAGGCATACTAACACAACTACATGTTCATACATGCTCATCTCATTTTGCAGACACGTTTCGATTACAAAATCCTCATTGAGTTATATTATTGACAATTAAATTGGTAGTCTGCTATATAAAACTACTGGCAATGGACATTAACCAACCAACCAGTTAGTTTTTGAAAATTTTCCGCTATAGAACATAACATGTACAATCAAAGTAAGCAAGCATGTTTATAAGAGTATAATACTTACTAACAACATGACATTCAATACCAGATTCTGTCAATACAATAGGCTCTAATGGTTTAGTTTTTAATGAACCAATACGAATACTTCTCGCTGATAATGATAGATTAATACTATCAAGTGTACTACAATTTTTCACTGGAGGTTTGGGTGATTTCCCTTTACCTTTCTTTACCCTCAGCTTTCCATTCTAAAACAAGATTAAAAATCATCTATAAAAATCAAACATTGATACTAAGTTACATACCAATCAGCTGCATGATATGATTTCCAATCACTTTGGAGGCAGTAAATGTTAAGGGCATTCAAGGTTTTCAAACTTTTTACAAACAAAAACATGTTACAGTATCTGTTATAGAATCATTTTTCTTCATACAGTCAGCGCTGTTCTGGAATCATTGAAATAATACATACATCTGAATTAACAAATTTCACCTTATCTTCCATTTTATCTCTGATAGATCCAAAACGTTTTTTAACAACATCATCTATATGAGGAAATATAGGAGAATCATCAGTACTATTCAAATCTTGTAACCCATTATTAGTCTCATTGGAGTCAGAATATTCATCATCAGACGATATTGTTACTGTTACTGAAAAAATAATATCAACATATAATTAGTAGATTCAATATTGATGACTATAACTGCATTTCCATTGAGAATTGTAAAGTAGAGCTGAGCATGCTGTTTTTACACTGAGTTTAACTGGTTCCCGAACTACTTGAGCCTTGATCGCAAAGTTGCACATTATTGACAACTCATGACCTACAAGATTATCGTTTAAACCCATAAAAAAACAAAAAAGACTGGAATACCATTAAACCCCTATAAAGCTGGCTTTTGCATTTCCACTGAGTAAAGTCAAAGTCGGCTTTAAGCTAACTTTCATTTAACCCTCGCAAAATTGGGGAATGCAAAAAGTGAGCTGTGAACACTATTACTGATTAGCTTAAGATATTGGTCAAACGAATGGCAAACCTGTTTCTTTAAGAATAATCATAGTAAATCAATATTTCACTTACCATTAAGAGGTCTTCGAGGTTTAGCATATCTTTTTTGACTTGGTTTAGCTCGAATAATCTTTGTTTCGGGTCTTTCAGGTGCACTTAATCTAGGATATTTATATGCCTGAGACTGATCATTGACTTTCTGTCCATAAAACGCTTTCCTATCAATAGTCATACCAGCATCATTGTTCCTTAATTGTTCTAAAGTATTGAATCGAGTACCAGGAGGGAATTTACGGGCACATCTCTCACACTTTTCCAAGTCTGAACTAGAATATCCACAAGATTTACATGCAGCATATCTGGCCTCAGTATTCTGAAATAAATGATTTGATATATAGACATAATGATTCTTGCCTCACCTTCAATAATTGCTGTGGCTAGAGGTGATAACAATGCTCACCTTTCCAGAATACCTGATGCTACTTTACAACTCAACACTCATTAGGAGAGTTTATGTTGATAGTGAAATTTTGGACATATACACCATTATATGTGTATTCGTCTAAAGCCAAATTTCCAAATTTAAGTTAAGAAATGTACTTACTTCTAAAGGTCTTTTTAAAGATGGGTTCCTATCATCATCTGTTCTTTCTAAAACAATCAGATTTTTAAAAATTACAAATATCACATAATCATGCAAATTGAAAGAAATGAGTGAAGCCAAAATAAAGAATGAATTTCAATTTCACTATAGTATTGTTCTCCGTAGAGATAGCACCTTCTCTCTTTTTTTTCTTTTTTTTTTCGCTTGATAAAGGGATTAGTCCCGAAACGTAGCTACATTTACTCTAATTGTATCGACTTTTTACCTACTGTTTTGCTTGTTATCGTGTGATTTATTTTCATTTAGATTTCATCCATATAATTTATGAGTAGATGGATTATGATTTTATATTGCATATTGAAGTATTGTACAGCCATTAATACGACCCCAGTTAAAAGGTATGTATGATTCATACCTGCATTTTCATCTTTATCAATATTAGATGTCTCTGGATGTAGAGGTCGTCTAAAATGTAAAATTAAAAAATATTATGAATGAATTAGTGAAAGACATCAGGATTATGAAAGCAATAATACTGTCAATGCTGAAAGTTTTTAAGGAAGTGTTTTCCACATAATTGTTTCTGTAACATAAATCACTGATAAGAGATACAAGGTTGAAAAATCTAAATGAACCTTGAAACTCCCTTATATGAATGGCGAAGAAAGTTGTGATTTTTTTCACATGAAAAACAGTGCAATAATTAGAAAACAGGAATGAAATGAAAACTCTGATTTACATTTACATGGATCACTCGATAAAACATAATAATAATTTAACAAAAATCTTACCTAGCTAATAATGTAGAATTTGGAGCATGACGCCAAACTCGACCATTTGGTAAGAGATCACCCCCTTCATGTTTTATAGGTGCTGGAGACAAGTTCTGTCGACCACTTAAACTAACCATACTTCCTGCTCTAGGCTTGGGTCTGAAATCATTTAGAAAAGTATTATTATTTTCAATGTTGGCATAAAGTATACTTCTATCTGACTATCTTAAAGTAAGCAAATTCCAGAATATTTCAGATGTTTCCAAAGTTTAATTCACATACGATGTGATTGTAGCCAAATCATAAAATTGTAAATCTTCAACTCATGTAATTGTCATCAATTTGGTAATATATCTA